CGACATGCACCCACTAGCATACTGTATGTGCATCTGTCATTTTACTTGACAATTGTGATGAGGAGGGGGCGGTGGGAGGGGGGATGGGGCAAACCCGGAGGCATGAAAGACAGTATTAGAAAATGAGAGAATTGGTGTTCCACAAATATTTCGTTTTCAGACATTTCGGCTTAATTCAGATGTTGATGCCAAGCTATGTTTATCCTCTCCGCTTCAAGCATACTTGACAGAACTTTGTTGAGATAATCACTGTTTGTGATTAAGGCTAATGTGTAGACTTATGTAAATGAGATTAACAATTCCAAGCACCACTTGCCAAGCGCCAAAAGATGCGTAATGTCTTACATCTGCTAACTGTCAAAATCCAGGCAGAGTACAAGTACAGCTTCTTTGCTTAATTTTCTGGAGGAGAATCACTATAGATAAATGTTTAATGTCATTTTAAACTTCAAATCCCACCCAATATCAAAAAGGACTTCTTTTTTTCTTGGATGTAGAGAAGGGACAATGAAAGTCCTACTTCTGCCACTGCAAGTGAATATCTTTTGGAAGTAATACCACTACATGATAGGTCCTCATCCCATGGCTCAACCGCGCCATTACGTTTGCAAGAAGAATGCAAAACTACGAACAACTCGAACCATATTGAGACGTCTCTAGTACCAGATATAGAGCCTGAAACTTTGCCTCCGAGTACCTCGGTCAATCCTGCCGGGTATTCATTGTTAACGGAAATATGGGTTGAGAATCCTAATAAAAAATGTTTCCATGGTACAAAGTGGAGCTCAGAGCGAAACGGTTCAGACAATTTCCGTCCAGAAAGACCACCAAAACCCGCCAAAAAAGATAGCACAGAAAAGCAGATGAACTGTTTATGCATGACAATGGCAGAAAACTTAGGAACTACGCAAGACAATGTAACAAGTAAAGACAGTGGTTATAATAGCGCAGAGAGCAGAGAGAGCATTCCCGAGATGCCTCTGGAGAACAAGAACACCTGGCAAATCGAATTGGATGAGCTAAAAATCCTTGATAAAGTGCTCGGAAAAGGAGAATTTGGAATCGTTAAAAAAGGGCTTTATCGTGGTAAAGAGGTGGCAGTGAAACAGTCTAAAGGTAAGAAACTGATAACGACTTGTCTTATTTTCCATATCTATTGTTTGTTCTTACGTGTAACAGACAGAGCTTTGTTTCAATTTTTTAGAGGCGTACTCCTTAGTTCCAACACAACCTCATGGAAATCCTTCACAAGGGAGCAATGTCTAGATTTCCACAATGATTCAGTCCTTAAAACAACAAGAGTTTGTTTGTGTGTTTATATGATATATCGTTCTTATTTTTTATTTATTTATTTTTAATCTTGTCACGTGGTTTAGTTACGTTTTCAAGGTGCAACAAGGACGACCTACTTAATGAAATAAAGATGCTGAAGCAGGCTGGAAGACATCCAAACATAGTCAGTTTTATTGGTGCCTGCACTCAAGAAGGTATTTGTCCTTTTTTCCAAGCACGATCTGGGAAAAAAACACTGAGTCACGATATACGATATACAATATATTTTTTGCTGGACTCCTTTCATTCAACAGAATGTAGTACTACTTGTACTTATTGCACCGGACTTTACGTTTTCCCCTTTATCATCATTGCAAATACCTAAGATACAATTAACGCAATTGTAATCAAATAGATGAATATAACCACTTTTTGAAGCAGAAAACAAGCTAAGTACTTGCAAATCGAGCTGTGATCCCTTCAGGGAAAGTACAAACAAACGTTGTTTTTCAGTGTGTTTGTTTTATGGAAACTAACACTCGAATTTGGCTCAAGAGTTTGAAGTTCAACAGATCTATGTTTTTAACCCTCAGATAATATTCTGCTAATAACAGAGCTGGTATCTGGAGGTACCCTTGAAAGTCTGTTGAGGTCTAAACCTCGTAATGGGGGGCAAAACCAATATGAGAACTTAAACTGTGGGCTAACTGAGCGAGAGCTGTTGCAAGTTTCTCTTCAGGTGGCCTGTGGAATGCAACATTTGGAAGAAAGAAAGGTACGACAAAGGTTAACTAAGAATAAAATTTACTCATTGGGGGTGAACTTTTATTTTAGCAAGCCTGTGGTGGCGTTTGATGCAAGATCAGGACGACAAGGCCCAAGCCTTGGGCAGTTCACTGTGTTGTGTGCTGTTCACTTCACAGAGTCTTTCTTCTATCAGGAAAATAAATGAAAATCACAAAAAGACATCAGGGCAATGTTAGGAAATGCTAGAAGTTTGCTCATGATGGTGACACAGTGAAGCAAGAAAAGGGTATTAATAGTCACCACAAGCTAATATAGACTCAGTGGAAGCGAAAATAGAGCATCACATTTCCATTGAAATCTAAATTTTACTAGTGTGATTCACAGCAAGTATGAGAAAGCGAAACAGTGCTTTTTTTGAACACGCAATGGAGGCTTGTCGCTTTTTTGATCCCCCACTTTTCATTTCGTCAAGTGCCTGCGTGTGAATCATAAATCTGTTGACACGTGTGTCTTTCTCTTCATCAGTACATTCATCGCGACCTTGCGGCGAGAAATGTTTTCATTGGTAAAAACAAGGTAGCAAAAGTAGGAGACTTCGGATTAGCGAGAGACATTTCAGATAGAGGCATTTACACCAAGACTTCTGATGTGAGTACATTTATAAGATATGTAGAGGTCGACGCTTATCGTTTCACTAATCTTTTTAACTCAGCATATCTGTACTCTCTTCAACAGCTACTATTAGAAAGCTTTTTCCAGCTTTTGTAAGGTAGCGTCCTAATAGCTGAGCGCGGTTGGAAGTTTAGATCTTAAACAAATAAACAGTTAGAAAATTTTTAGTTTTAAAAACCTTGAAATGATAAAACATTGTATCTACATTTTAATGTATCTTTGTTTTGTCAGGGCGGAGTTCCATGGAGGTGGTCTTCTTTAGAATCATTAAAATGTAGGGTTTACACCTCCAAAAGCGATGTGTAAGTTTATGATAATTTTGATGTCTTACGCGCTTTGAAAGTTTTTATAACAAAATATCGAATCAGCACCCTTTTCGAAAAAGCAGACTCCCCCCCCTACCGTTTTCTGTGGACACCACTCTCAAAAAGGGAAGGTACCATATAATTGTAGGTATAAGTCTGGTCGATCACTCTCCTTTCTTTCTTTGTTTGTTTTTTTTTATCCAATATAATCGAATCTACATGTAACTTTATATCATTGCGAGACAACATTACATTACTTACATTATCCAAATTCACGAAATGGTGCATTCGCGCTAGCCCTGTTTCAGTTTGAAGACAAGCTAATTGGGAAAATTATTACTAATTAACAGAGCTGCTATCAAAACCTTTTGGACAAGCTTTCTATCGTACAGTTTTGGTTTTATTGTTGTTTATACCCCTTTTTTTTTGGGGGGGGGGTGAGACCATTTAAATAAGCGTCTTCTCAGAATGAACAGTTCCTCCCATGTGAATACAAAGTAATAACTAAAAACGTAGTGTTTGAATTATGGGACAAACTGCGTCAGGTTAGCTTTATGGAACTGTTCGCCGCAATTGATGGTGGACTCTCGTAGAATTCTTTTGTAGTTAATTAGAGTCGCAATCATTTTAATAGGTAAAATAACTCAATTATACAATTTTTTTCTTAATGATAGATGGTCGTTTGGGATTTTGTTGTGGGAAATTTTTACTTATGGTAAGTTTGTGTAAACAATTTTTAGAAGATATTACATACCAATTGTTCCTTTGAAATCAAACTGAAATTATTTTTATGCATGTCGTCAAAATTAATGTCACTCCCATCGAATAGATAATATGGCGAGACTGTGTATTTCATTGTTGTGCAAGAATGTTCTTAGATGTGCCTTTCAAATTGCTCGCTTTGTTCCAGCTCGAGCAAAATTCTTTGATGTAAGATTTTGGCCATACAGTAGGAAACGTGCGTTGTTTAGATGATTGTTTATGAGTATCGGCCTCGTTCCATTTTAAGGCTCTTAGTTCTGAAAAAAAAAAGAACAAAACAAAAAGACAACTTTGCACAAGGAAACGAATGCAACCATTTCTTGACTTTAACACTTACATATTATCCTATCAGGTGAGGTTCCTTACCCTGATATATGTGCAATAGAGGCCCTCATTACGTGGCTATCGTCTGGTAGCCGGATGCCTTGTCCTCTAAATTGTTCCAATCAACGGTGGGTTAGAGAACTATCTGTAGCGTCTTCTCGACCTTGGTCATTTTCAAGCAGTCAATTTCCTGAAATGTTGTTAACAGACAGATTAGGATTTGACTAATCTCTAGTTGTATTTGTAGGTATAAGTTGATGAAGTCCTGTTGGCAAGAAAATCCATTAAAGAGGCCCACGTTTGCATGTATTGTAGAACAACTGGAAAAGATCTTAAGCTTAGAATACAAGGTATGTATTCACGTCCAGAATGAAACTTTCCTCATTTTCATTTTATTTGCTTGTACAGAACGATTTTCCTCTTTGGGTTGTCTCTGTTTACCGCAGTAATTGTACTCATTGACAGTCTCTTCGGTTGAACGGCTAACTAGTGAATGGACAACAAACTATATGTTCAACTTTGTTCTACCTCGCCCTTTTTTAGTTGATTTGTTCATCTTTTTCCGTTTCAGAGTGAGTATGCTAACCTTCAGAGTGATGACTCCGGTAACCAAGAAGAAGTATAGAAATTCGTGACAGAGAAGACGTTGTATTCATACAAAACTGCATATAGAACATACCCATCAAGTTACCACCAAATGTACGTGTTATACATTTACCGTGTGGAGAGATACACACAAGAGGAAACATTAAAACCTTTAGAGAAAATAAAAAGTATATAAATAATTTTCACCAAATTATTTTATTTAATTTAAGTCTGTTAAAATAACTTCTCTGAAATTTCTTTCGCTAAAAAACGTTTTAAAGTCTTACATATGTAAAACTATAGTTGTAAAAATTACGTTATAGACAGAGAGTTGGAAATTTAGGCTAAAACTATTATAACAATAGAAAGAAAATTCAAGACTGTAAACTGATTCAAAATTGGATAGGTAAAATCAGAGAAATCGGAATATTTTTTATCTTTTATTTCTCCTGTTAATAAACTTTTCACTTTTCTTTGGTGCAGTGCTGAGTTACTTTTCTATAGCAATTGACAACTCGTGTATCATTGCATTTTCGCAGAGTAAGTAATCACCAAGCTTTAATTAGTTGTAAATCGTATAAAACATCAGCTAATAAAATTCAAGTTGATCCGTTCACTTTCGGTGAAAAATTACGTAGTTGCGCAAATGTGGAGAATCTTGAGAAAAGACAGGTGCCAATGTAAACCAGGGAAATGCACATGATGACATGGTGTGTAACTTGTAATGAAATATTTTAATCAGTTCACTCCTTGGTTAAATCACAGTTTTTACACCTAAGTAAGCAATATTTAGTGGCCCTTGAAAGGAAACTCTTACTGAACCGAAGTTTTCGTAAAATGTTTACTTATTAAAGACGATGATCGAGACATTGTCAATTTCTCCAAATAAGGTCTAGGTTAAGGCTCATAAATTACGGTTGATTTTTCCTTTATTCTGTTTATTCTTGGAAAGCTGGCAGCTGCTACTTATTTAAAAAATAGTGACTCATAACAATCTGCAAAGAGTCAAATGGCGAGAGATAATTTGTTAGCGCACGAAAACGAAACATTCGTTTTCGTGCGCCAAGGTAATTCTTTGAAAAGGAGTGTGATACTAGATAAAAAGGAAAAAATCCTGGAAAACTAGCATTTCTTTACAAGAAGATTTCCTATATTCCTTTTACAATGAGAGTTTAAAATACACAGGTGGAACAAAAGCGTTTCATGCCAAACTTCGCTTGAATTTGCTCAGAATGTTTTTCCGGCCTTGGCGAATTCCAGGCTCCTGCCCTTCTTGTTCACCTGTCGATGGCACAGAACATATGATAACAATGAACACCTAAATCAATTTTCCCTACTTTTGTCTAAAAAAAGGGGTAATAAAATATCTAAAGAAAATGGGCATATAACTGGGCTGCGTCAAGTTGGTGCCTGGCGTCACTTGGGGGTATTAACGAACTGCTAAAAAAAAACTCAAAAATCAATGGCGTTTTTGGTCAACTTTTCATATTTATTTATTTTCTTTTTGGATAATTTTGTCTCTAGTGTCATTCTCATTTATGTTTATTACGTTTTACGTGCGATCCTACCCAAGTTTAAAAATATGATCATATTCTTGCTAAAGATTGCAGCCTACACTTTTCATGTGGGAAAGTATAGGATGTGTCACACTGAAAAGACAAAAGACAGACTTTCTGTAGAAGGGAAAGATGACTAAACATTGAGTTACCTACCACCAGTGATGGCGACTTTCAGCTGTTTGTAGGTACATCCCAGTTCATTGACTGCCTGGCAGAAGTACTTGCCTTTGTCTCCTGGTTTCACATTCACGAGCGACAAAGAGCACGTTTTGACCCTGCGAGGCTTTTTATCACAGTTGAATTCGCGAATGAAGGAGTAGTTTACGAACAACTTGATCAGATTAGGCTCCAAATAGGAGCGAAGATATGGTGGGAATCCCAACGGCATTTTTGCAGTGCATACCAATGTTACATTCGAGCCGAGCTGTACGGTGACTGCTTTGTCCAAGTGTTTCATTTCAGGTGTATGAGGCGATTTGTCAGGCGTTGTTACATAAAAGTCCACAGATGGTGAACCTACAGCACAACATTGCGAGATTTTTAAAACACTGTCAAAATCCTATGAGGGAAGCAGTTATAGGATATTTTACAATGAGCACTTGAACGCCCAAAGCGTTTCACTATGTGCTCTCAGCTCTAGCAAAGTCTAGTAACTTATGTGTTTTAAAATTATTTCGAATGAGGGAGTTTAAAAATCGATTGGCATATAACATTGTAACCTGTGTTACTTTTGATCTTAATTTACTAGTGCTATGCTGAGCTTCCTTAACTGATTTTCTTCCAATTTGAGTTTTCCTCAATATTAACCAATTGTATTTGTACTTTAACAGCCTGTTGCACACCCGGCTTGGTAAAGCAGCAACTAAGGCTCCTTTCTCTGCTTCTGACCAGAAGTAGACGATGGGTCAATGATAAAGAAAGGGCTCTCCTAAGAAACAACAAAACTAAGAAGGACGTTTTTAACAAAGCTAAGCTATCTTTTAAAAAGACGAGTCCAATTTGATAGCTTTGCGACCCTTTTTCTATTCCTTTTTTTGTACTCCATGGCGTGGCATGTACGACTAGTCAGAGCCTATACGTCTTACTTGCCAAGTATATCTCAACATTTAAAAGGAAAAAAACCGATTCATTAAAAAAAAGGGGGATATTTTTTCTTACCTCCATAAGCCTCTGTACCACAAGTCTGGCACCAGATAGGCCTGCCAAGGGATGCAATGATAGCAACTGCAACAATGACGGAGAACGATGCATAGGCAACCTTCATATCTGTAACGAGGAAGATAATAGAGAACACAGACCCCACAAGTTTAAGTTTGACCGATTTGGTATACTTATCAATCCGACAGGTACACCTTTTATAGGATATCTCTTCTCCATATTAGTAAATTCTTGACGTAACGTTCTTTCCAAAAATATTTATTACTCGATACACAACATAGGATTAAAGGAAAGTTTAACTTGGCCGTTAAAGTGAAACGGGGTAGCACCGATAGGAAACTCAAAAGTTCTGGCGTGTGAATGAACGAGAACTGACAAACCGAGGTCCATGTACAATCTCCCGATTCGTTGAATTGCGAGAATTAAAGTTCAGAAATATAGTTTGCACGTGACAAATCTTTCTCTTAACTGACTTTTCCGACAAAATAAACAGTGACGTCTTTCATTTTCTACGTCAATCAACATCAATGTGATGCATTTGTAATGAATCACAATGACAAGGTTGTGACATTTCAGGTAAAAACTGAAACTTTGCTCATATAACCAGATCCATCAATTCGCAGAAACTAGGACTTACGTAAAAATGGTGATTACAAAGCTTACTTAGTCACTTTTCTTATTTGCCCTATGCATTTAAGGTTTTGTGTCCATTTTGTTTATTATCTCTTTGACATTTCCTTTTCCTACGCAAGATGATATGCACTCATCGACTACGAACATCATTTTCGAGATCAAAAATACTCTCCCGTTCGGCCCAACCAGGCTCGCATAAAAGTTATTTTTACAGCCAGCACATACAAACTTATAAACCACACGTGAACGGAGCCCGTCAGGGACAGGATCTTTCACTCCAAACAAGTTACCAATCTTGAAAGAAGAGAAAACTAGCTTGTCATTGCCAAGTCATTGCAATAGCGCTTAATAAAATGGCGAATCTTATTCAAAGAGAGCAACCCTCTTTGAATCAACAATTACATAATGTAAATCTAAAACTATCCTTTTAATTCTGACACTTTCATGCTTTGCCTTTTTCTCGTTGTCACCATTTGTCGTATTAGCATTTTTCTACTTACTCTAAATTCAACTTCCGACGCTTTGTACATTAATTAACTGAAGATGACAGAAGTTTCTGCGGAAACGTGTTTTACAAACTCAAACGTTTTGTCGTTTTCTTCAAATAGAAAACATGTTGTATTTAAAAGCAATTCAAGTGTATTATGTCTTCTTCTTTCTGATATTCTCTGCCACGTTCTGTATACATGTATAACTGTTTGTATGAGATTTGTATAAGGAGCATTTTATCTGTATATTTAATTTTCTTTCAGCAAGACTAATTAACTAGCAGTTTTATGGCTTATCTTTCCTTTGCACCAAAATGTTACAATTCCAGTGTGTGGTTTATTTTCTTAATTAACTGCGCTTCTTAGTTTTGTTTTTTTTTTCCCATTTATATGTGTATGATGTACACCTTTCAGTTTTCAATGATATCGCGGTTTCAAGGTCACCAGTTCGTATTACTTTCGAAAATCGATAATATGTAAGTTTTCTAAGACACGAAAGTTCTGAAAAACTGACAAAGTGGACATTTGCATCGGTAAAAAAGAAGTCCTCCATCAAGGTACGCACAGTATAGTTTCATTTGTTAACCTTTCAATGTACACGTAGATGATCATTGAAGACGATTTACGTAGATGTAAAAGAGCCATTCTATCTCGCATCTAGTTTCGAAACTATAACGATTAGAAAGTTATAAATGTATAGGAGGGGAGGGGACACTCGTCCAATTGTTTCAGTGTATGGTTAAAAGAATAACAAAGTCGTGCTTCGAAAAAGGAATATAAGACTAAACAAGACTAAAAAAAGCCATGGAAATACGAAATACCTGTCGGTCATATGCTCTTGTGAACGTAGATAGTAGCTAGGAAACTGAAAGTACTGTCCTAAATTACGTCCAAGGTCAGTCCACCTGAATTGTATGAATATCAAAAAATAATGCAGATATCATAATTATTCATATCAGTTACACTATGGACCAAATTACCACAATGTGTCAGATCGAACGTGTGATCTAATCATTTGATTGAAAGAAAGCTGCCATTAAACCATTCTAAGACGTGACGACAAAAAAACTTAAAACAAAACAAACATTGAAAATCTGCAATATCAACGGTTATATGGACAAAGCGGAAGTCTTTCGAGTTGAGTTGCGACCCGGATGTAATTAAACTGAAACGTCGTGGACGTTTTTTACAAGCAAAAAATGTAATGTGTTACGGTCAAATGCGAGCTATTTTTTACTTTAAATCTTCCGGTCCATCGTGTATAAAAGCCTGTGAGTAGTAAAAGGGACTTTCATTTCAAATTACCTGCTAGTCAGAACAAGAGTTCCTGCCATCCTAAAGGTATTTATGATTCCTTGCTGTGCGTGTAGATTTAGTGGAAAGGTTTTTTTTTTATGTTGTCAATGTTCATTGATTACTTAACGCGCTTAAATGGAACATGTTAAGTTACACAATGCAATAACAAGAGGAAAACTACAGCTATAATCCTCATCGTTTCAATATTCTTGTGTTATAAACGAAACAATTAATCAAGTAAGTGCAATGCCAGAGATCACGATGCGAGCTCAACTTTTGATGCTAACTAGCGTAAATTTCTCGGGCAATCAGTTATTTAGCAGTCTTGATTTTCTGCCTTCGTTTAGTGAAAGCATCCTCAGGATTTGGCAGCGAACCAGATTGACTCCTCTGCACTAACGACGAAAACACTCCAATCTACGGTGTTTAATTTCCTTTTATTCGATGGTAATTACTTTTTTATTGGTTTTTACTTTCAGCTTTCTTTCTGGGGGAGAATCTTTCAAAGTAGACTCAGCCTTACGCATCAAGAAAGATAACCGAAAACATGAATAATGGGTTGACATTTCGTGCTTGGTCTTTGAGTCGACAAAAATACTTGGTCTTAACTGAAGATGGTGGAAAGAAGACTCCTAAAATCAGAGCAACAGGCGATGATGAAGGAAAAGAAAGTAGGTGTAACTGTTCCTTAATTTCGTGTTGGTTTTAATTGGTTACAAATTGATAAACTTTGAAATACTTTGCAGACGGTCCGACCTTTCTGAAAGAGTGGCGGTGATGTTCACCGGCTTAGCCATGGTAAAAACTCTTACAACACAGCGGCTAGGCCAATAAATGTGTTCGAACTAAATTATCTCATAGATGACACATGTTTTAGAACTGAATATTTTTTTTTCAGGTCAATTCACAATGGTACTGAATACCGCAATCGAAACTTTTAACGAAAATTCCGCCCACTTAGTGTTTACAGCACAGGACGGTCAGAATTATGCTTTGACTACCGACTTAAAAAATGGAACTGTTTCGTTTACGGTCAGTATAAACACATGTAACTTTAAAGGAAACCAAGGTGAAATTAACGAATGTTTATCTAACTCCGATTTCATTAAAAGCGACTCATTAGTGAGAGATCGGTTAAGTGCTTGTGCGGGCCTGAAAGAAATTAAACTAGTTACAAAAAGGGCGCCGCTTCAAGTACACTTACAATTTGTACACTTCAAGTACACTTACAATTTGTACACTTCAAGTACACTTACAATTTGTACACTTCAAGTACACTTACAATTTGTACACTTCAAGTACACTTACAATTTGTACACTTCAAGTACACTTACAGTTTGTACACTTCAAGTACACTTACAATTTGTACACTTCAAGTACACTTACAAAGATACTTTGAATTTCAATGCACTGTATTAAGTTCAGATCGCAAGTCTAATGAAGATAATCTTGTAGTGTTTATGAAAATAAGATAAATATCGAATTTGGTACAAAACATAAAGTTTCGAAGCTTGGTAATGATTTTGATAAAACGAATTTGCAAACTTTCGTATCCTCTATCGTTTTGCATTTTTCGTAACTTTGTACAGGGGCCTTTTTTTGAAACAGAAATCAAGAAGAAACAACTATTTCTGTATTGGTTAAAAATCGAAAACTGAGTAGAGAAGCTGCATTGATCTTTTACGGAAACTTGCCAAATTAAACAAACTTTTCCGTGAAAGAGAAACTTCTGTTCAAACCAGATAGCACTTTTAGTTCACTGAGGTGGTTCTTTTACATATTTAAGGTGTTCCACTTCAGCCTCAAAGCATTCTGTAAAAAAACTGCTCTAAAAAACTATGATTTTTTTAAAATTAAAAATGTTCTTTCCTTCACACAGAAGTACGAAAAATCTTCAGAACATATTGGAGCCTTCGTTAAGGAGTCGTTGGGTGAGCAAGGACCAACCTATGCTCTTAGGGTTGCACAGAGTCAGAGTTGCATTGCTGCCAACAAAGATGGCTTTCTGTCGCTGAGACCATTTGAGCGGATTTATCCTCATCCAGACACCATTTTTGTTCTATCTAAAGTTTAAACAGATAAAGTAATGGTTAGGTCGAAACTGAGTTGATGCCATTCGTAATAAGGCAATAAGGACGCTTTTTGGCTTTCAATGTTTTTGGCAGACACCATTTTTGTTCTATCTAAAGTTTAAACAGATAAAGCAATGGTTAGGTCGAAACTGAGTTGATGCCATTCGTAATAAGACAATAGGGACGCTTTTTGGCTTTCAATGTTTTGGCATTCAGTGTTTTTGGCTTTAGTGCTTTTGGCTTTCAGTGTTTTTGGCACTAAAAAGAATCTCATCTCAATAAATGATAGGGAACTTGTTGTATTCTTTCTAGAAACCATTACTCTCTTTGTGTCCTCTATGAGGCAGCATAAGTAACTGTTTGTAACAGCAAATAAAAGACTGAAATGAAATGTCTAAATGGATGTTTATGGGTAATAATTTATATTGTATCTCTTGAACAGGATTCAGTATCGCCTGACTGCGAAGACAACTAGTGTAACCTCACTATAACATTTAAGCTTCAGCCTTCGCTTTAGTGAGCTTTGACCAATCAACAACACTTTCTTTTTTCGAATTAGAAAATAGAGTTAAATCATATTAATTTTTTAGTAAATGGTTTGAACCCGACCAGAAGTTGATCGTGTTGTCAGATCATCTAGGTGAGAGTAGTCATACAGAGGACAGTTATCGGTAGTACTGCATGGTAAGGACTCGCGTTTCGATAACTGTTACGGAGGGCATTACGAGGGTCACTCTGATTATGACCTAAACTCAGGTATTCATTAAAAAAGTCAGTCACTTCTACCGAAAATAGTCTTTTTCAGGACTACTCTCAATGAACCCAAACGATCAGACTACGCGATCAATTATGTGTCATTTGGTGTAGGATGCAATAGGTCGCTAAAAACGCTTTGGTCTGACTTTTTAACAACTGCGTCCTAAACTATCCTCAACTTAGCTGAAACTTTTATCTGAACATTTATTTTTGTAAAAAGTGTCAAGATTGCCGAAAGCTAGTGGTGGAAGGACATTTATTTAATTAAATCAACCCTCTTGTAAAGAAAATTTGAGGCCCACTGATTACGTAAAACTGTGGTAACAGATAGACCTCGTGTAAATGACCACCCACCGGGTTTATTTTCAAATTTAAAAGGACTGTCTTTTTCTTACTTTGCTTTTTTGTCGTTGTTTCAGTCAACCGATTCATAAGTATTTCAGTTAAAAACTATTCAAAAAGTGGCCCAGACGATGACGAACAAACATGCCACATGGATCATAGCTATTAGGTCTTTTTTATTTTAGTTTACCAGGGAAGAAATTAAAAAAAAAACTTACATCGCTTTCGGCACAGCTCAAATTAAATTCTGTGTTCGAATTGGATTGTATCCTCCAAGGAACATCCCCTTTACACCAAAAGGCATTTAGCGAGCCCAAGGGCCTTACCTGAGCTTTGCATTAAAGTTGGCGTCCTAATAAAAAAGGTGTTTCGTTATGACCTCTAATATCCAGTTTCGTCATTGAAGGCTGCTCTATTCGTTCATATTTTATCTATATGACGTGTGGATAAACCACATTTGTATAGGTAATGACATGATCTCGAGTGCAATTTGGAATAAATAAGCACGAATAAATATTTTTAAAGACTAACATAAATTTTCTGAAGCAATATGAAATCACTTTCTGATTATACCTTAATACTTATATCTTTCTTAAACAACGATAAAAAATATAGGCTTGTTGTAAGAGACTTCAATGCGTTAAAGCTCACGTCTATCGCTATTAACTTTCTTTCCCCTGTTTGACGCCAATTACTTTGCCACCTGCACAATTCAATTGAGGAAACAGCTCCTCAGGCATGTTTATCACCTTTTATGATAGGTGACACTTTCGTTACCAAGACAACATATGCCGAAGCTGAACAGTAGGTGTCAAGCACTTCACAGCAGTTTGGAAGCCAGCAAAGAAAATTTTTTTGAAATGGCTGAAGCAAAATCGGTTCGCTTTTCTCCCATAATAGAGGAAACTGCAGACGATGTATCTACCACAAGCTCTAACATGGACTTTTTCCCCAGCGGAATGAATTTCGAAGATGCCTATATTGCCAGCTTGTCAAAGAGCGCCAAAAAATATCACCTGCCAAATGAAAACGAACAAAGGCTACTACAAAGGCGCAAAAAGGGTCTTCTGGCACTCGGTTTCGTTCTTCTTCTTGGGATTACTGGAGCTGGAATTTATTTCGTTACAAGAGAACTGTCTAACCAGGAACCATACTATTACAGTGGAGCAGCAGTGAGAGGAAGCAAACCTGAATTTGCAACAAAGAATATGACGTTGCATTACTTATCCTACTCAGCTACAATTTTGAGCTCCTCTATCACCAAAAAGCCTTCGCTTGGTAAGTTCACTCTTGACTCTTTTTTGCCACTTTTTACAATTACGTATCACCCATGGTCAGTATGGTTTATATACTCAAGTTGTCCATTGAAGTCTTATTTTTTGCGCCCAAAATTGAAACTGAAGGAGAGATATTACGATGTAGAAAATAAAGCAAAGGTTAGTACTAGACAAGAAAGGTTCATTGAAAATGTGTAACAACGAATACAAAGGATATTCTTTGTCTCAATGAGTAAAGTTGATATTCTAGATATATCTAAAGACGCCTGAAACCTTATTTTATGATAAAATAATAAAATGTATGTAAGAACCTCGAATAGATAGAATATGTAGTAACAGCATAGGATGGCCATCATTTCGTGCAGGTGTTTATTGAACAAGGGCCGATAAGCGATTGGTAAGAATTCGCGATACAGAACTTCAAGATTGGTGTAAACCTCGTTTTGAAATGCAACTGTCCCAGGTATAAGTTTTGTTTTCCTTTTAATTTTCACTAAATAAGGTACGTGACAATTTTCCTCTTCCAAAAAGGGTTAATTTGGATAACGGATAAATTTCCATTCTTGTGGTTCCATCAATGATGGCCACCTGCCGTTAGTAACTAATGGACACTTTATAGCTTTAACGCCTTCTAAAGCAGGACATATAACTAACGGTTTCAATAATAAAAGCAAATTTTTGAGAATTAACCAGACTTCAGTTATCACGAAGAGCCGACTTTTACGGCGGGTGAATTGAAACCATGCAGTGCTTGGTTTGGTCACTCTAATTTGATATGAATTGTACCCCTATGCTTTTGCACTCGAAAAGAGATCAGACTTCATAGGCTTTAGTGTGAAATAATTTACACTGAAAACGGTCTGATAAAGCAGCGTCAGTCCTCAAAAATCCGGCTGAACGAGGTCAATAACGAAGTTTTAGATTCAGACATAATTCACAAAACTCAATTAAAAAAACTCTATTATCATAAATTTTGAAACTCTTCACAATAGGCATGGAAATACTGAGCTTAAGTCCATTTCTAACACTAGTAATTTAATGAAAATTTAACTACTCGATGAAATTATTATCTTATGATTAATTGAAAATTCAATTTTCAATTTAATTTTTATACAGAGTACGGCAAGACCCAGGCTTCAGTACCCTCGGTTAAGGCATCAAGCATTTTACGATCAAAGCCAAGAGGTCCCATAACCGGAATGCTTACACCAACGACCATCACTGATTCATCAAGCCTGAAGAAGATCACTGAAACAAATCAGTGGAATACATCATCTTTTTTGACACCAAGCTTTGCATTTGTAATAGAAAGATCTTCGTACTTCGTTATGTCACAGGACTCCGTTAGATTGATCATCAGAGCAAATACCATAACGTCACCTTTCGTCACACAGGGAAGCTCTTGGAAAGATTACAACACGAGAAAAAGTATTCCATCTGCTTGGGCAAACTCGAAGATAATCTTTCTTACATCAACTGGGTCATCTGTAGGTGTCAATCGGTCTTCATTACCTGACATCAGAACTAGTTCCTCTTTTGGCCATAAGGCCGGCAGTGTGGCTTTATCAATTACGCCATATTCACCCCTGCGAAATTCAACTTTGGTTAAAGAATCGCAGCGATCGTCCTATTCCAGGTTTACCTTTCCTTGGTGTTCGTCTCAAACCGTAAATTCATCAGATATTGTAACCTTCAAATCAGTCTCTAATACCAAATTTGCGTCCAATGATTTTCAACCAGCAACTGAGAAAGGCGAGTTATCAACATCCATCCATTCAAGACTCACCTCTCATCCACCTGAGTCTTTTAGCGAATCGAGAAACCCCACAGAAGTTGCTATAGGTGGAATATTATTGGAAACCACTCTAGAGTTACCAAACACGAAAATCAAAGTATTTTCTTATCCAACCAGCTCTCGTATCATAAACTCTCCTGGTGAAGACCGACCAATAACCATTTTAAATCAACTACAGACGTCCTATTCAAGGAACTCTACAGCTCTGACAAATGATACAAGAGAAACTTTTACATTGTCAAGCTCTAACCCTTCCTCATCTCTTGTTCACACAATGCACTCTAACCACCACAAAACTTCATCAAAGATGCACAGGCCTTTTTTTTCAGAAGTATCTCAATATACTGATGTACACCTATCGTATACTTCAATTCATCCCGTGGCTAGTGGTTCTGTTTTTCAGGAGCAATCTTCACAAAAGATTTTTAAAGGAATTATTCAGAAAACAATGTTTCCATCTTCAAGTTTCATTGGTATTCACACTGTATCAAAATCACCTCGAGAAATTAAGAAAAATTCAAGGCCTTCGTCAACAATTTTTTCCCGAGAAAGTGACTTGCTTTCTTTACAGGCTACCTCAGACTCTTGCTTTCACTCCGTCTCGTCGGATAAAAGCCACAATATACATGCAGGCCATAATTCTGAAGGATCGACGGTTGTAAAGATTTTGTCTCTAAAAAGCACTGGTGCACTTCCCAGTGTTTTGCAGCCAAGCCCATCACACGGAAACAAAACCTTGTTTGACACTACTTTGACTTTGTCGCTGATGACGAAAATCTCTAGCAGTAGATTTTCAGCATCGCAACCATTGTCCAGTTATTTTCATTTTCCGGCAGTTAAAACAGTCTTACCCTACGCCTCGTCTTCGATGAATATGCACCAAGGCATTACTTCCACTGTTGTCTTTAAGAAAACCATTACAAACCACGTTTCATCTCGGAGCGTGGATAGAAAAAACTTCAACTTCTCGTCAACTCATGGACGTATTTCAGCTTCCATGGACGTGAATTCCAGACATACCGGGAACATTAGGTTTTCAATCATCCCTGTCCGCTCAATATCGCTGACTTCAGAGGCAAGCTCCCCAGAGAGTGTTTCAACGCCAAACCTTTTTATAGGTACAACTTTAAGCGTGTCCATGCAGACCTCGACCAAAGGCACTAGCGATAAACCAGTCAGATTAAAAAGTGCGAGTACCTCTGCCGTGCCAGTTTCAGCTTCCAATCCGTCCGTTACATCTTCGAAAGACGTTTGGCATTTTTCACGATCACTACCGACTGGTGAAAAAGATGAAAGTTTGACAAGTTCAAGAGCAGAGGAAAGTAAACTTGTACTCTCAACTATGATGTCCTCTGGTAGACACTTGAAAATGAATGTACCATTTGAAAAATCTCAGTCCAGGACGCCTAACACACCTGTAACAAGATTCTCCACGACCAAAACATCAACAGCAGCACACTCTCTAATTACCGCACTGTCTTCGTCTGAAATGTCGATTTGGTCAACTCTAAGGAAAACTTCAAGAGGAGCAGCTTGGCAAGGAAAGAATAGTTGGGATTTCAGAGTTAACGTTCGTACCTCCACATTTGAACACGAGAGCTGGAAGTCCAGCACTGGCTCATTTCGAACCATAGCTCTGACTGCTTATGTCTTTCCACCCCTTAAGACAATTGCAAGCTCACCTAGCAAAGACTCAAGTAACAAGGCGACAATTTGGAAAGTTACAAATTCTACTATCAGCACAGGTCTATCCTCAATGCACTCAACGGCACTGTCCCTTAACCTGTCCACAACAATTAGCATTAATGTCACAAGCAGGTCAACGAGCGAGACACCCTGGAACATATCTGTCTCGATGCAGTGGCTAAATGCCACAGCGCATGTGACCTCAAAATTTCCATCAAATGTGAACTACACTACTACTTCGCACCTCAGATGGGTACATCAGATTACGGATCAGTATCCTTATAGCTCGGTGAAGCCCACTACCACTGCAAGTTGGAATTCTTCAAATCAGTTCGAAATTATGAACGGGTCTTTAGTAATAAAGAATAGAGATTTTCATGTAAATCTGTCAAATCCAAACTCCACAATGTTCAAAGTCCTTGCTGATAAAGTCGAGTTTATAATCGAGGACATAATTTCCGTGGATGCGAAAGTGACGTCCTTTGAGGAAGGAAGTGTCATTGCTCTGTTTTACCTTAAAGTGCCACATGACGCACTGCACAAAGATTCAGATTACCTTGAGTTACTGAGAGCTGCTAATGAAACATTATGGCAAGGTCTTGTAGTAGTGAACATCACTGTTACATTACGAGTTTACAGGGAACGTGCTGAATCACAGGATACTGCAACTAGACACTTTAAAAGGTTATCAAATGCCGCTTTTATTGCAATATTTACAGTCTTCTTTGTTTTGCTGATAGCTGTTGGAGGGTTTGGAGTTTACATTTGTAAAAAGAAAGGATACTGCGAGAGATCAACAGTTAAACCTGCTAAGTGAGTATAAGGACGTTGATATATGAATATGTACACCTACCACTAAATTTGCCGCTTGCTTCTTGTCGCGTCTAATTATCTTGTCATCCGTGCTTGTATTTTTGTTTCTTGCTTCTGTGTTTATGAATCTGTTTTTCATCCAGCCAATCCTACATATTAAGTCTCGAAACGAATTTTCACCATAAATTAGCCGTAGCACTTTCTTCATTTTACAGCGTTTTTTATCACTAAAGAAAAAAGGAGAAAAATGAAGACAAAGCAATTGAATTTTTCTTTTTCCATCTTTCAGCTCTTCAATTCCACCCTCTGAGCCTCAAAATATTCAACCTGTTCGTCGTGATACTTGGGTTATGAGTGATGAAATTTTTAAGGATCACGACCAAAGAAGTGACGAGACGTTAAGTACGAGAGTCCTGGAGAGAAAAGACACAAACAAAGAGGGAGGTTGTAATCCTGATCTGTTAAGAAAATATGCTAAGAGCCCATTTGAACCAAATTATTCCAGTGGTGAAGTAGGTAACTTTACAACTCGAAACACCTTTCGTTCGACATCACGATGCACGTCAAGCTCACATCTTGAATTAGACGACTCTGATCGTCCAGTTAGTGGTTCATCAAGAGATACCTATTTGAATAGCGCTAGGCAATCTTCACATTCCGAAGACGAGTGTTAAAACGTTACCCGCTGAAAATGACCAAAAGAGCTCTTAGTGTTCAACAAAAGAATCGACAGAAAGAGAACGCTTTTCAACTGGTTATATTACCTAACTAGCTTGTAACAATTTAGCTTACTTCTACCCACGCTCATACAGATTCCTTGAAACTGTTCATAGTTTTTTTTTATAATTAAATAACTCCTACTTAATTTTTTCATGATGAAGTTATAATCCGGGCTTATGGGCAAATTTAGTCGCGCTTATTATACGTATGATACTTAACTTTACAGCGGGTTTGATAAGACCCTTCACAATGTGTGCATCTATGGTGATGCTCAGGCCTAAACTTAGCTATAAATAGACATAACGTTCACATAAGCTTGCCTCTAACAAATTTAACTGTTAGCCTTATCCGTTCATGTTAATATTCAATCGGCCTTGTAATTTTAAGTGTATGATACGACAAGCTATGGCATTGAATAAGGAGCTAGAGACCATGCTTCATGTTCGAAACACTCATTTTTTCAGAACCTTGACTGAACTGAGTTCACCAAATTCGAGTTAGTCTACTTAATTTAGCTAACAACCCTTAGCTGTACTCTTTGCAACGAGCTGAATGCTGCATGGTCGTTGCGAGGGCCCGTCATACGGAAAGTGATTGCCGCTTTACTTTGCTCAACATGGCGTGCATTTTTGAAAAAAAGTTTGCCAAATTTCTCTACATCAAGCAAGTACCCGTGGCGGAATATCTATGTGAAGAGTTACAAACGAGGCGCAAAAAGAAGTGACTCGATTTTTATTTCATTTTGTACACACTAATCCCAATGATTTATCAGAACTCGAGAAACTTAATACTTTCGAAAGGACGAAAGAGTTGCCGGTTCTTTAAAAGAATGCATAAATTATAATTTCAATGTTCTGTCGCTATGGTAACACACGAAGCTGTTCGTAAGAAGTAGAAAGAGAAAGGGGCCATGACATCCGTAGGGTCTTACACAGAGAGTCATGCTGTAGCACTGGTAAGGTATGGAATTAATTTCCTTCAAAAATTGCAGGTTGACAAAAAACATTTTTACGCTTTGAACAGAGTAAACGCCAGTGGATTTTATACAGAATCATAACTGTGTACCAATTAGGCTGTGTACCAATTTGCAGAATTGCTATATGGAACACATTACCTGGGAGAAAATATTTCGCTGGCGTAAGGATAAGAAAATGTTCAAAGATAAGAGAGACCGAGCTAAATTGCGAAAAAATATGTGTTCTATGAATATGTGTTGACTAATTAACAGTCAGCCCAAGTTAGCTTTTCAGCAAATGTAATGCGACTACTTTAACCGCCTATTTTTCGTGAACGGTTTTATGTCTACGACAAATTATGAAATGTAAAGTTTTCCTCAGTACTTCAGTTTGTTTAACTGATCCCTGTCGCACATGTCATTAATTTGTCGATGTAAATTGTGCTCTTCGAATCTGACGGTGAATTTGCCAACTAACAAAAGCTAACCATTTTTTATGCACGGCTCGAAGTCATTCTTGAAATACCATTTTTTGCGAATGACTGTTCCCTGTTATCGCATTTTGACAATCACACTTGTAACATGAGTACTTTCTTTCTTTACCTCGGTCATATAAACTGACACAGGTTGATTTGTACGCAATCATTCTTATGTTTCTCCGACACATTGTTATGATACAGGTGACGTATTGTCTAAACTAATCTAAAGAGAAGTGAAAAAATAAACTTGAAAAAACATATGTTAAAATGGGAAGGATTAGTTACTCCAAAGGCTTCCAGATGAAGGGCTTATTGGATAAAAAGGGGTTTTTTAACAACTCATGAAGAACCAAGACAGTCTTGAGCTTTAAGCTAATTATCACCCAATTGTCACCTCTTACTCCTTCTTGCAACGGAAAATTTCAAGGTTCATTCGTACGGCGCTGTCTCCCTTATTCAAGAAGTACAGCTGACCGTGACAAAGGTGTTTCTTAAAAGTTCTGCACAAATTTATTACATTTTGATGGCGCTAAAAAATAGTCATGCAATAATCAAACACTGATCTCTTTACAGAGAGGACTGAGATCATGCAGTATCGGATTATCGCATGATTACATTGTAGCCTTTACAATGGGGTCGTCTTATCTAAACTTTATTGAAACATATTACCTTTTCTGATCACGTCTTTTCACGATAAACTTGACCACTATATACTTTTATCGACCTTAAAATCACGCTGTTTACATTGCTATGATTAGATGATGACAGTAACAATTCCATTCAATGAACTCCTCGACGGAGCAGACATGACTAGAAATACTGGATCTGAAATGTTATTGGATTTCTGCGAACAAAATAGTGTTTTCATCGTCAATCGTTAAGCAATGTTCGCATTCGTATGTCTGTGGCGGCTTATTTTGTCACATAAAGAAGACAATGGAAGTGTTTGAAACTTGCGTTGCTTGGTGACTGAAATTTAATTTGTACTCACACTCTAAAAGCCACTCTAAAGTGGAAATTAAAGCAGCTCTCGATATTGTCAGGTTACAAGATATAATAATTTCCTCTAGTCATGTCCTAATTTCTTGAATTGTGTAGCGTTTTCTTAAATCCCCCGCTTGTTTGGACTATAATAATAATCTCATTAGCGAATTAGATTTTAGATAAAAACCCGTTTACCAGCGTGTCAATGGCCTCAATGGTGTTGGTCTCAGAGGAATAAATTATGCTAATCAAATATTGATTAACATCAAAGATCAAATTAAGGACAAGGTTGCTATGAGGACCGTTTCTATGGGCTCGAAATGCAACTCACGAAGCGTGATGCCATGTTTAATGTGTTTAAAGAGTACGATTCTTTCCAGATTTGTTCCTTGATCAAGAACGTTTCCTGATGAAACGCTACTTCGACTTAGATAGAAATTGTGGCTCACATCGCAGCCAACGGAATACATGAAGAATAAGAAGACAAGGACATTTGGTACTGCAGCTGACAGTTACAGAACAATCCTGCGTTTTCAGAACTCAAACGCGGCCATTCCGCCGCTTCGAATATTATTTACCTTGTGGGTTTTATGTTGTGGCTTCGTTGCTGCTCAGAGCAATGACTCGTCGATTATTAGTGCAGCTAGATCAAACTCTACAGGGTCAACTAGTGTTTCAGTGCCCGCTTCTTCTGTCTATCCTGCGTTGGTAAATTCATCCTCCGACAATGGTAAGTCGTGGTTATTTTGTAAACCGCTGTTATGAAGATTTTATTATACGATTTTCATCAACAGTTACTAATTCTAAAATGTCCGAATCATATCTCTTTATTTACAGTAAATCTTACACATATGGCGTTTTAACCGTTTAATAGTTGTTTCTAGAAATAAGTCGACTGGCGGTCAATAATTTTCATAATATCTAACTATGGGGTCTTTATCTGAAGACGTAGTAAGTGTAGTTTTATTTACGTCAACAGAATATATTTTCCGCTAACTGGAAACAAATTGAGATTTTTTGTTACACAAGAGACGATATATCTTTGAGTTGTCATCGATCGTGTATTTAGAGCTTTGAGAAAGATTAGTTGATAATCAAACTGGCTTCTCATATCACCCCGACGTGATATTATTGTTTTAATTTACCAAACTATAGTTGAGCCTCCGGTGGGTAATCACAACAAAACCATATAATATCGACATCTGGACCTTTAATGGAAATACTGAAGATATGCGGGAAACAATAATTTGAATTGTAGTGAACGTTTCTTTGATTGAAATATCGCGCACTGAAATGATGAATTACAATCAAACCGAATTTTAGATTTCAGTATTAAGTTCTAGGTTTGTCTGTCAGCTCGAGGGAATCAAATTGTCATCGCACGATTGAGTTGTTTTAAACAATTCGCACTTTAGCGATTAACAAAACGTTTTATTTCCAGCCGTCTACTCTGACCGCTTGACTTTCAGATGCTGTACCGAGCCAACGGAAAATATTTTATTTAACTGTTACTTATTAACCAGCAACATTGATATTCATTCAATGATTGGACATCAAAAGTAAACTACAAAACAAATAGGCAAACATCTTCGTTAAATGATAATGGGCTGAGTAGACTTTGCAGTGACCCAGTGTTGCGTTCTAAGTATGGAAGGCTTCAGCCTTTTACAACTTTTATAGCGGAGATTGAGAGCCAAGTAAAATTTAATCTTCATGACGGGCTTGGCCGATATGTTTTTAAATTCCCAAGGGTATTCGTGAACAGGCCTGTCACGCACCTTATCAGGAAAGTCGAATAGAGTCTCGTGGCATGATAACTTCCTCCATCATAACAGAATAGAATAGTTTGCTGTACACGACAACACAAAGGCGAACTCACATAATTTGATTAAAGAATATTTTCGAAAGTCGTGCAGCGAACAGTTGAGAATACAGGAAAACAGACGGTTGCCAAGAGCCCCATTCTGTGGTCATTTTAATACTGAAGAATTGACAATGGAGCGTAAATTGCATGCCAAGAGAGCATGAGGCAGGGTTTTGAATTTACTTCTCAACACCGCATGGTAAAAAGTCTTTGGTTTTGTGCCAAGGAGTCGACAATTTGGAATGACCACGTTTCTTACTTTTCTCACTGAAGAGTTGAGCAGACATAAACATGTAAGGGACGATACGAAAATGAAGTGATCGCAAGTGCCGTAAAATTTTGTGTATTTCTATTCACCTCCTATTGATTTATTTTCATTTTTCTATGAAGGACATTCATGCAATCGGCCGAACTTTCTATCGGTTTACCAGCGTGATTAAACGTACGTGATGTTGGGGGAACACGAGAAAAATTTGTAAATTACGAGCCGGAGCCAATGATTTAAAACCTTTTTCAGTGTTTTCCAACATCCCAACTTGGCCATTACGCCGGCGAACCGATAGAGATTGCGCTCTATTGCTTTTTTTAAATGAATATGGGTTTAGCGGTGCAATAATAGATAGCTTTTTGACCAATAAGGGCATTCGTACAACCTCAGTTGTTATACAAATGTTGTTAAAGTACTTTGCTGCTCTGTATACCTTTCACGGCGTAATGGCAATTGTTTCTGTATCACTGAATCGTCTATTGTTTTCTCCTTTCGAGAACCAACCATCGTACTCACACGTAATCATTCCATCATCTTCCACCAGCATTATTTGCACGACTAGTATATTTATGCAATTTAATTTGAAAAGCGTGTTAACAAGGTAACGCCGATGATCAATTGTGTTTTTTGTTCGTATGCACAAGCAATTTATCATCATCTTATTGCTTCTCCTGTATGATTAATAACTTTATACTTTAGCGATGAATTATAAAGGCATTTTTTTCATGAATTATTCAGACTAATCCACTCAACAACGTAGACTAATGTAGTTAACATCTAACATAAACTTGAAGGATTAACACACCAAGTATAACTTCCTCTTTTCAGTTAATATCACCAGCACCGTTACATCCCATTCGTTACGCAACAAGACCAGCATTCTTAACGTACTTCATTCTTCTGGCTTTCCTATTGTTGGTTCAACCGAGCCTATTACACTGGCAATTTCTTTCGTTACAACCGCGACACCTAACACGCAAAGCGGCGCGGGAAGTGTGCGTTCGTTGTTCGACGCGTCATCGTTTTCAATTCCCGGATTTACCGAGCCGCTAATACTGGCAATGTTTTCGAGAAACCCGTCATCTCAGGTACAGAGCCAAAGCAACTCCTCATTGTCGTCAAGTAGCATTATCAGTGACTTCGTTTCTTCGGCTCAGTCGAGCTCAGTGGACTTTGGCTTCAGTGCATATACAGCGACGCCATCACTTTCTGTTCAATCATCGTCATATATCCCTCCGAATCAATCTACAGATCAGCTCAGTAGTAACACTGTAGTTATAAAATCTTCGCCATCTAAGGGACAAACTGACACCTTTTCGTCCGTTTTCTCAGTTTTTAAAAAATCGAACACTTTACTTTCGATGCAAATATCGTCGATCACTGCTCAAAGTACTTCCACAAAAGCTGGAAGCTCGTCAGGCATTTCTGAGGCTTTGAAACCTGCATCAACGGCAAATAGCTCAGCTGACATTTCGCATTTGAGGACAACTGCGTTAAGTGATTCAACTAGCGTCACTGAAAATTTACATAGTACTCAACTACACATTTCTTCTAGAGGAAGGTCCGCTGTAACTCCTTCATCGCAAACAATCAGTCGGATGTATACTTCAATTAACGCACATCTGGAAACCTCGCAAAACAGTTCAGTCACCCACTACTTATCGAAAACCTCCGACGTCAAAGAAACTGTATTATCTTTACTTCCGGGGGGTACCACACCCACAGTGACCGTTCAACACTCTGGGTCCACCTCACCATCCATTCAAGATGCAACAACTAGTATAAAGCACATTTCCTCCGTCGACTCATCCTTCCAACACACAGTCAACGATTCCTCTGCAATGGATTTATCTTCATCGAAACGTGAATCAAACACACCTTTAGGTTCGTTTGATGGACTAAATTCCACGATGACTACCATGAGCTACACCAGCCCACTGGAAAATCCTTCAAGTTCAGTTAGTTCAACATCGCATTCATCGATGCCTCGAGAGACTTCAGCAATCCAAGCAAGTAAAACACAACTGAGTACAGTGATAAATAATTTACATGTTTCATCTTTCAGTTCAGTCGACAGCTCCGAATCAGCTGGATTTCCTTCGTCACTCAGAATTTCTCTGCCAAGCAGCTCTTCTTCATTCAGTTTAACAGGAATGGCGTCAAACACTTCTTCGAAAACCTCAGAAACACATGGTTCACACCTGCAGAAAAAGACATTTACTATTTTTGTAACTGCCACGGAAGAGATGCCTAGCAGATCTATTATTTTGGGATCAAACACTTCTACTGAGGCTTTATCATATTCCGATAATCTTTCATACACTGCTTCATTGGAGTCGAAAAGTTTGGTTTCAACCCAACTTGTAGCTATTAAAACCAAACAGCTTTCTCATGTCTCCACTGTTGCATCGCTTGTGTCTTCTAAAAGGATTAGTTCTGTTTTGACGTCACCGTCTGAGTATATCGAACCCTCGATTTCCGTAACTACAAACAAGAGTACATTTGCTACTCAAGACTTAAGCGTAGGTTCCACGGCCATGTTGCAGTCGACACCGTTCGCACCAGCCACAAAAACACGATTACAAACAGATGGCTTGACTTCGCTCCCCACTATGACTTCCCTTCGACGGTCGCCAAGCTCTTTGAATATAGTCAGCACCGCTCATTCATTGTCGACACAATCCGTTGGTGAATCTTCAGCCAACCATTCCGTGAGAGGGTCAAATTCTGTTTCAGGTAACAATTCATTCGTGGACAGAACTACAACGTCGTCCAAATTTAAAACCGAGACACCCTTCCTTTCATCTTCTGGTGACAGGACTGACCTACCATCATTGCTTCAAAGTACTACCTTGAGAACAATTTCGACGCAGATTTCGTCCTCTCTTGGTTCTGTTGCTAATTCAAACAACACAACTGATAGTCGAACGATTTCTGTATCTTATGACCCATCCAGATCGTACCCTAGTCAGGATTTACTTCATTCCACGTCAAAACATTTGGAAAATGCTACCTCACTATATGCTGACTCCGCAACTGCGTCACTTAGAACATCACCTGCTTTTCCCGTATCAAATAAAATTCACACAGTGACTTTAATTGAATCTTCATTATCTCCAACGGAACTCTTTTCAAACAAAACCTCCTCGGTGATCGGATCAAAGTCACTTAGTGGAAACTCGAGCGAGTTGTCAATAATAAGGACGTCGTTCTCAGTAGTAGAATTATCTTCAGAGATCCTTCCAACTCTACCACTGTCGGTAACTGTTTCTTTTTCAAAGTCAGATTCTGTTGTTTCCGAACTGATATCTCAAAATCTGTCCTCTCTCCTTGATTCCTCTCCGTCTTCCAGTTCAAACGTAAAGCAAACTTCTAGCAAGAAGCAAGAGGTAACATTGGTCACCATAGCAGAGACCTCGTCAAGGACCACAAACCAATCGGTTTCAGTGCATGAGAGTTCGTCTTATTTACATGTAATATCAAGTAAGTTTCATAACCTTGAAGTAAATACCCACAAAATACAGTATCTACTGACATGCAATAGAGACTAGATGATGAAACGTTCAGTCGCCTATGGAAAAGAAAATGATGGGAATCAAAAAATTAGAAAAACGCAATTCATAAAAAAACTTGACCATAAACTATCTTTTCGATTATTTTAAAACTATTTGAAATTGTTCAATAAAATAGAAAATTAAGAAAAACAGCGAGCCTGTACGTTCTACATAGATTGTTCAATGTTGGCATAATGAAGGAATTCTTATAGATTGAAACTGTTTTTCGGCCCTTCACCAATACGATGAATTCGTTAAGACGACGTAATTCTTATAGATTGAAACTGTTTTCGGCCCTTCACCAATACGATGAATTCGTTAAAACGACGTAAATTTAAAAATCCTACTTGTTGTGTACGTCCGTCACAGGTAAGGATGCTAGGTAAGAATTTGCTTGAAATAAGTATTGTTAGTCGTTCTTGCCAACTTTTGGTGATATGGGATAACATTTGTTTCGTTCTTTAAATCTCATAGGCTTTACGACCAGAACGCTGTCTACTTCACACGCGCGTCTATCAATAGCAACTCTTCCATTTGGAAATTCTACTCCAGCAAGTTCGTTTCCCCCTCCAGGTATAGTCTCCTCCTTTTTTATATGTGACGTCATACACAGTATTTATTCCATTTTAACTGTCTGTAACGATCCCGATTACATCGGTAGAGATGCCTTTGAAAAGGCCAGGCATTCTCAACTGTACTCCTGGTGAAATTTGTTAATGCACTAGCCACTTAGTACAATTGCATAAAGCCCTTACCCTTTATTAATCGTGTAACATATTAGAAAGAAAAATTGGAAAAAAACAATTCGATTACATTGATGTAGAGCCTTATACCAATTCCTTTAAACAGGATCTTCCTCTTCCTTGGTTGCAGTCTCCAAATCGACATCTGTCAATTCATCAAGGGGCTCTGAACTGGCTCTTCCGTCTTCATCAAAAACGCCAATGGCATCTTTAAAAACGCAAAACTCATCGTTATTTTCCGCCCTAACATCATCAGCTACCGAACGTATTACTTCCAGCTTAGAAACTGTCTTAAAAACCTCCGGGAAGCTTGCCTCGAATTCAAAACTGCAGCCAACACCATATTCAACGCAAACAGTCTCATTGTACACAAAGATGGCTTTGGTTAATTCCACGATGAATCCATCACTTCACAGTCATTTTTCGAGTGACCTTCTTATGGTGACGATAAGTTCGACAGTGATTATGTCATCCACGCAACAAGTAAGCGAGCATCTGTCGCAAACAAAGAGCTTGAAAACATTCTCGCCTCAGGAGCCATCAGAAACATCAACATCATCTACTAATGCATCATTAATACTTTCAACTTACCTTAATTTATCAAACACAGTTCTCGAGTACACATCGAGTAAAAGTACAGGGCTAACTGTGTCCGCATCATTCAGTCTGCAGCAGAGTGGGTTGTTGTCGCAAATCTCGAGTTTGGAGGCCTCGCGCAGCCTGCAAGTTTTAACAACAGAGGTAACTCTCAATATGTCAGAAATATCTGCCTCTCGAATCCAATCACTGAGCGAAGTTTCAGTTATTCAGACAAGTTATTCTGTGTTACCATCTGCACCCTCACAAGTTACTACAGAACCTAACAAGTCACTGACACAAATAAGAAGTCTAGAAACGTCACAAACTGAGCGGTTGACGCTTGTTAATACATCAGTAAGATCCTCACAAGTCCAGACATTTAGTAATTTTCTTGTCACAAGCTTTACGGCGCTGTCCTCAGCCTCCAAAACAACAATCTCAAGTCTTTCAAGCGAGGGAAGGCCTGTTAATACTACCAAGAGTTCTGTAGAGAAATCGAGAGCAACTCCAGCACTCAGTGTCTCTTTCCAAAGTGTACCACCGACACAAACTACACGTTTAGCTGCGTCACAAACTTCAAAGTATACAGCAGTGACATCTATGAATGTGTCAGCTACGCCTTCCTCTAAAGGAAATCTTTCAAGCGAATTTTTAGTGATAACCACTAGTCCACATGTATTAGAATCATCACTTACAGACCAAAGCACTTCGTTGACGCATGCCTCCTCTAGACTAGAAACTCCGCAGAATTTAACTTTTACTTCACGGAGCATGCAAAACTCGCTAACACTAACAATGGCGTCATTAGACGTGGCAACCACAGCCTCGAGCCAACTAAATATTTCGAGCAATATCTCGATTTTCTCTGCAAGCGACACAGAAACCTCGACTCTAATAAAGCCTTCCCCCACAGAACAATTTGTTTCCAGTTCCGTCATTACGATACCGTCAGGCGTCTTCGTGCGTTTTGCTGTGAACGTATCTCTGAGTACAAACATAAACAATGATTCTTTTAAGGCGCAAATGAAGACAGGAATTCTTGCAACATACGAGAACGGCTCTTCCGATGGAACATCAGGAAACATTACGATAGAGGTAGGTGTAGGAATGGAATAGGATTTGGTTTTTGGAGGCCCTAGAACATAAAATATGAGTTCTTTGTTCTCTTGTTTGAAAAAGGAACCCTCTTTGAACATAGGCACTTCTCCAGTCATGAAAAACTTAGATAAAGGTATTCCGCATTGCCTTCAAATAATTTTTTTGTCTTTTTCGTCACCTCTCTCCGGTGATTTTTTTTTCTTGGATATAAAAGGAGATGTGGGAACCGTCTCTGCATTTGGCAAGTATTCTCAAAAATTAATAAACTTTAATTTTTCTTTCTTTTTAATTGTTTTATTTTTTGAGAATTGAATTTGTTTCCGTCTTTCTTTTGCGTGTCTGTTGCGTTTTGTGCTAAAACCTCAGCTTGACATCCATCCATATGTTAGGGTACATTCTTTACAAACAACAGCAAACAGATTTGACTAAAATAATTGTGTTAACAGTGTATTCTGTTGAGTAATTCTTAATAGACTACACGAAACTACGAGATTGGGCTAGTACACATTTATACTAAGATTGTTTCCTTTACTCTTTATCGTTTCTTCTTGAAGATCATCAGTATCGCGAGAGAACCAAATGACACTAAAGTGAATGTTACTTTTAAAGTTGTCAATGTAAGTGCCAGTGCCGGTGCCGGTGCCAGTGCCAGTGAGCCAGTTCTTGCTTACAACGTTATTCAAACTATACTTCGAGCAGATTTGAGACTGGGGGAAGCCGTTGGATTTGAGGTATTTTCTTCTAGCACACCCCGATTTAGTTTTTTGTCTCTTAAAGGAACACGATTGGGTAGGGTGATTCGCATTTGCCCTACATACTTCTCCTCCCTACAATATCCGATAGGCGCGCAAATGATCAAGAACAAAGCTCTTATCAATTTTAATCAGAAAAGTGTCTACAACATGTATTGTAGGGAAAGATAACCATACATGAAAAATCGTGCTCAGTAATACTGCTTTTGTTTTCTGTACACAAGTTTGGTCGGTGTTAGTCTGTCAAATATATATTGTGAAGTTTGCTTTGTGATTTACATCCTTGTCAGTGATTATCGTATCAGGAAACTCCCTCATATTCAGTTTGTAGATCTAGCGGCGACATTTGACGTTTGCTCACCGATTGTTAATAAAATGTTAAAATACATCTGCATGCATTGCTCGTAAATGTAAGATTTTTTTAACATTTCTTTTCATTTTTGTTATCTCAAGGTTGTAGAGGAACCTGCCATCTTTTATCCTCCTTCAACCTCGTCGTTTTCAACCATGGTGATGATGTCAACGCTATCAAAGTCTTTAAAATCAATAAATTTCACTTCGGTGGCGAGAGAATCAAGTGCTAAATCAACCTTTGAGTCAAGCCCACATTCAACTGTAAACTCCACATCGAAGGTTTACACGACACCTTTACAGTCTTACTTGGTAACATCAATAGACATCCTACCAAGTACGACTTATGAAACTAGTACCTTCTTCGGTGTCACAAGCCTATTGTTGCCAGCAACCTACATCTCTTCTTCGACCACAAGTCTTCCTTCGTCAGTCTCATTTGATGGAAGTTCGACTTCAAACTATTCAAAAGAACTGACATTTATCTCTTCATCTTCGGTCATATTGAACAAAACTTTGTTTACCACTACCTCAATTTCGTTTCAGTCGGAAAGTTCCAGCTTTCGGGAGACGCCCTATTTGTCAAGGGTCGATACAGTTCACCAAAACTCTACAGATTCGATTTTTCCATCATCATCAAGGATCACGTCAAGTCCAACTGTGACTTCATCCACGTTTAGTGTTCTGTCGCTCACTAGGGTAAATGCTAGTGCCCAGTCCAACTCATTTACAACCTCTCCCGTGAATAGAACAAGAACTTCAGCTGTAACGAGCTTTACTGAAACAGCAAGCTCTGTAATTCCAGCTTTTACGACGGTTTCATTGACGCAAGGAGCCTCTGCTTTCAAGAGTATGAGTTTCAATGACAGTTCGATAACATTGGGCATAATTTCTCCGTCCCCCTCGTCTACTGCAGTGATGTCGAATACAACGGTGTTTGGATCAATGATATCTCCGTCCTTGTCTATTACGGTGAGCGCCAATTCAACAGTGGTAATGATGACCAAATCGTTGTCGCCGAAAGCAAGTTTACCCACGCAGTCTGCAATCAGCCAAAACATATCATTTCTTTCTTCGACTCTAGCAACTACGGACGCACAAGTAACAACCTCGTCACAAGGTGCTATGTCAAATGACTCAGAAAGCAGCTCTCAGTCATCAGTCTTTATTACCAGAATATTTACTTCCAGCTATTCAGTGGGAAATGCTAGTGAGACCACATTGCCCAAGTCTTCGGCGATAATACCTAGCAGCAGACTAACAACCATTGCTGTAACCTCCTCGAAAATGTCCCTTCTAGCGTCATCATCCACGAGATTGCGTATAAATTCCAGTCACGTTGAGACACTTGCTATAGCTTCGAGTAAAATGTCGTCAACTGCACTCAGCACCATTAGCTTTCCCCGTCATTCAACCTCTCCTTCTTCTGTGATGGGAGCAAGTCAAACTAAAAGTATAGTATACAGTTTACCATTACCCACATCAAATGCATCAGCCATTGAATCAGGCACAGCACACGTTACCCCACCGTCATATTCAAGTGAGATCCACAGCTCAAGCGTTGGGACACTTCTGTTCTCGTCAGCGGAGGCTGATACCACAGTCGTTCGAGTGTCAACATCTATATCGTTGTTAGTCAACACAACTCTTTTCTTAAAGTCTTTAACTTCAAGTGCATATAATACTGCATTCATCACTTCAAACAGAAGTATCGAAGGTAGTGCTACCTCTTCACATGACATGAGTTCAAGCCCATCGATGGTAAATGCTTCCACAACACGCGGTGTCTCGCAAGTGTCAACGGTGCCAACAGTGACCCGTGTGAACTTAACAACAGAAGTCACACAAGGCAGCTTTAGCTTCTCCAGTCACTTAGCACAAGGAAGCTTATTGTCTCCTTCGAGAAGTTCAACAATCACGACACTTCCAATTAGTAGTGCTAAATCAATGACCTCACTAAATGGTACACAAACTGTCACGCGAGATCTATCGTCTGTGACACCAGCAGTAACGTATGCTGTTTCGAAATCCACACCCGAGACCTTGTTGAAAACTAGCACAACGGAAAAACAGTTCACAACGGTTGTCACATCGATGTTTAGTGACTCGCTCGGTTTTAAATCCATTCGGTCCACGGTGACTTTATTAGCTACCTATTTAACTTCAGATGCTTCTGTTGTCGTACCGACATCCACGCTGCTTATTCAGCCAAGCAGTAGCTACGGGTTAACAACGTCAACCGCACAACTGCAAACCAAGACAACGACTGAGAGTAAATACGTCTTATCTTCTACCTATTTAGGTTCAGTTTTAACAACAGAATCGTCCATCTCCACTGCGATTCCTGGGACACACTCTCTCAGCTTGGCGGTGACCACAGATGTCGTAGAATCAAGCCTCACTGATACTATGGTTCGTCACTCTGTGAATTCCTTGTTAACCTCAAAGAGCAGTTTTATTTCAGTTCAGGGTACATCTTATCATTCCCCTGCTACTACTATCAAAGTGTCTTCAGAAAAGGACTTCATCACTTTATCTCCTATGACTACAAGTAGTGTCAGTAAGCAAGTATTGTTCACAAGTGCTGAAGTTTTGTCATCGACCGAGACTTTCATTACTTCAAGACGTGTAACACTCGGCTCAGCTTCAATAACCGCGACGGATAGTAGTTTGGAGACGTTGCCGCCAATGTCTGTAAGAGGTTCGATGTCTTCCCCTATGAGGGACACAAGCACTTCAAAGAAATCTTCCATTGCCACCTCGCTTCCCCAAGGCTCCTTCTCGGACCTTTCATCTCCAATTCAGGGAGCATCCTCTCTTAAGATCGCCACAACAAGGAGAATCACAACGTTAATCACGAAGATGGAAACTACGACAACGAAGAGTTTAATCACCTCTGAAAAAAATGCGAAAGCCACTTTAGTGACAGAGACCCCGGCAAGTTCGCTTTCCTCAAGTTTAAAAACACCAGCACTGTCAACGGCTGGACTTTTGAAGAGTACCATACAGAAGAAAACATCAATTACACCAGACGGAAGCTATTCACCCTCAAAAACTGTTTTGATTTCCGCAAGTTCAACCACAGAGTTGCCCACTGAACCTGTTCGCCCTACTGCCAATGCCAATGATACTGAAGGGCTTGTTGGTATTCAGATACTTGTTCCAAAGAACGAGGATGAAAATGTTGACTCCTTCCGCGAGAAAATCGAATCACGACTTGCAGAGGCTTTCAGGTGGGGTCAGCGTAAAGGAAGTCAGCGAAAAAGGAGGGACCTGCAACACTTTGACAAGCCTCGTCGTGTTCACTTTAACGCCAGAACTGATTTTCAGTTGAGAAAGAGAGGGAATTCGTTTCAATTGGACAATGAACGAGGAAAACGGTTTAGGAGAGAAGTTGATAACATTACTGTATTGGTAAGAAGCATAGTTTCTTCTTTAAATCTTCTGTTGTTTTATTTCTTGCACTTCTACACTTCAACCTTACTCAGATGGCAGTAGCCAAAACCGGAGGTTGATGATGTTTTGTATGCTTTTTTGCTGCAGGTGGAAACCATAAGAAGAGCGGAAGCAATTGTAGGAGAGGAACTCGTCGACATAGAATACCGAGTTTTCAATGGCCCCACTATGTTATCTGCGGAAAGTGTTGTGGAGACAATGAACAGACTAAGCGAAGCTGAGATGGTTTCCACTCTGGAATATGGGGTACACGTCTTATTTATTTCTTTATGTGTTTATTTCTTTTCCTCGTTTGTTTGTTTTTTTTTTCCAACGGTAACTTGAGCTCTATCTTGTGTTTTCTAACCATGATAGCGTTATGAACCCAATATTGAGTACTATGAAAAGTCACGGCGAGAAACTGACTCATAAAGCTGCAGGATTCTGTAGCATGACGCGACTAGCAATATTGCTTCCCGAATTGAACGGGATACAATTGCATGCACGCTACCCTCAGAATTTTCCATGACAATTTTTTGATACTCGTATGTACTCCTTTCTGTCACTGTAAGAGTTAAATGTCTGATCAAAGACCACAAAAATATGATAGTCGCCTATACTCGAACTCGGGCCTTTCCATCTGGTTAGTCGTGCTATAACCATCGGGTCAGTGTGTCTACCTTAAAACTATATATTTTTTTTCAGGTCACGTTACGACCTTATGTAATTAAAAAGACACAGACTGCAGTGCCTACAGTACCACCTACTAAAGCCGACTTAGACTGGGCCACTATCATTCCTGCTATTGCTGTTTCTTCAGCAGTTCTGCTGTTTCTTTTATGTGCCTGTCTATGGGTCAGGTGTGCTGGAAGAAAGAAAAGACAGCAGAAAAAAGTAAATCCTTTTAAGGTAATTACATTCTGCTACATGACATTACATGCCATTACATGAATTTAAAAGTAATTACATTACTTTAAATTCCCCTATTAATAGTTAATACATGTCAAACTTTTTCAGTATCTGCTTGCTACTTACATTGTGTAAACTTGGGACTGAACTTTTCAAAATCAATCTACTAAAAATGATTATTTAAAATAAGTAAAGTCAGTCTTCAAACTTTGTTTGTAATGTTTGTCAAAAGCGATACTTAGTTCAATCTTCAGACCTCTCATGGCGTTATGATAAAATCCAGTTTCAGCAAATGAAATGCTGGTTTTTTTTTTTTTTTCATTATAAAAGTTACAATACGCTCATTTGTGTCATTTCCATTGATCTCCACATTTTTCTCCTCAACTATAAGCCGAAGGAGGCTTCATACGAAAACCTTGAAGTAAAGGTCCAGGCTTCTCACGATCCGAATCCTCACAAAAATCTCTACAGCGCTCCAAACGTGAAAAGACCAAGGTGCGTAAAGTATCTTAATTTTGAGAAATTTGTGTTACGAAATTTGACATCCTTAGCTACATGTATGGTACACCTCCATTCAAGAAACGTAAACTTTGGTTCCGTTAAAAAAAAAAGTGTTCCCGCTACTATTGTTTGTTTATTGTCTGGTTGATCCTGAGTATCTGCCAGGCTTTTTTTTCTTTCCATTTATTTTCTTGTTTCTATTTGACTTTCGTTTTGGTATTTATTTATTAAGTTGATAGAACAAGAAAAAAACGTCATTCATGAATTTCTTTATTTTAATGCGCCGACAAAGCACCTGTCCATTTGTGTCACCTTGCGATCTTCGACAAATGTATCGGATATCGAAATATAATTCTTTTCAAGATTATACCCCCTCCACCCCCTCCACCCCCTCCACATCCTCCACCCCCTTCACCCCCTCCACCCCCTCCACCCCCTTCACCCCCTCCACCCCTCCACATCCTCTCTTATTACAATGTCGCTTTGTGGTGGATGCGTTTGTCTAGTATTGTCTCTTTACGCTGATACCCTTAACATTTTGTCGAAGGTTGTAGGTCAAGTAAGTAAAGCCACCTCACTATTCTTCTATCGAGTTTAAGCTTGTTTAATTCCGTTGTTTTGAGTAGCATATCCAGTTCAAGCAGCAGTGAAGATTCGATAAAAGGCCCCAAACTTCCTGATACGGATTACTCTCCATATGTTACTCTAACCAAACCTAATCAGTGGCACAGAAGAAAGACCGTCAGAGATACCTCCAAGGAAGTTACAGTGTCAAACGGACACGTCAAAAGAGAAAACCATGTTAAGCGTTCAAAAGATACCCACGAAACAATAGAGGTAAATGTACGCTCAAAGTTCTTTACTTATCCTTACTGCATTGAAATAAAATTGTTTTACCGTGGTCTTTGCCCAAAAGTTTTTGATGCTAAGAACGGGAGCAGAGATGACGCGGAGGACTCGTAGCACACTCGCATCCCACTCGAGTGGCTTGGGTTCGAGTCCAAAAACCAGGAAGAGTCTGTAATTTTTCTTTAATTTATCATTATGTAGATGGAGCAATTAGCAGGAGTGATAGAGAACATTCCACAGTTCAGAGATGAGAAGCTTCTGTACGGCAGTCATGGTCGCCAAGAAAAGTCTTTACGTTACACGCAACTTCCTCCTCTCGTGAAGACACCTTTGGTTGGAAAGGATCCCTCTGATCCAGAGAAATTAACAGAGCTAAAAAAAGAAAAGCAAAGAATCATTGATGAATCAGGAGTACCGCAGGTATAGCACTGTATAACTAAATAACAAACTGATGAAAAAAACAAAACAAAAGAAACGAAGCAAACGAAGCAAATTCCCAAATTACCCCGTCGTTTTCAATTCTCTCCTCATTCATTGAATTATGTAGATGTTTATAGGAGATAGGTGTTACACCATTCAATTAGTCAGTTACAACACTGCTAAGACTTAAATGTCAGTACATCTCATTTAAAATCGTGCATTATGCACTTAAGTTATACGATCTAATATTTAAACAAAGTGTGAGTGTCTTAATGCTACCATTTGATTTCATGAAAGTTAAAAAGTTGCTTATAATATAATTTTTTACAACGTTTACTCTCCCTAACAGGTGAAGTTAGGCATCCAAATCAAGTATTAAATTACAACTATTTTGTAACTTGAATCAAATTTTCCGGCAATACTTAAATATCATACCCAATGATTTTAAAAATGATCATATAGAATTAACGTATGATATTTTAAAGTTGATAAATTGAAGTGACAGTCTTTGAATCGCACTCCTCTATCAAGGAAAATTAAATTAATGGATCCAGATGCCTGAAAACTAAATAAAGTTCTGTAGTGCATGTACTGTTAAGTTAATTGTGTCACCTTGAATGTAAAATAGATGACTATATAAAAACGATAGAATTTTTCACGCATCTATCTACTACAGGCGTGGTTGGATAGAATGCAAATGATTGAACTTCAAAAAATAGTTGGTACTAACGACGCTGAACTTAATGAAGATGAAGATACACTAATGCTAAAGGTAAACACCAAAGCAAATAGTTAAAACTAAGGCCTGTACACACTTTACATGTCACCTGTAAACAAAGGTAGATGTTTAATACTTTCAAGAATTTTAAAACAAGCCAGACATTTCCCTGCAAAGAAACAGGATTTTCCAAGTAAGTCTAGGTCTAAACTTGATATAAGAGCCCAACTTTTATAGGAAAGAACGTCATAAAAATGTCCACACCCCTGCACACAAGTTTATCCGGGTCTTCTCGAAATCAAGCCAACAAGATTATGGTTACTCTCCCTGGATGGTATACTTCTCTTTTCAAGGTTACCCTGAGTAATTCGGCCGGCCTCCTTGACAATTTAATGTTATTGACGTATGCTTTAGGGTATAGAGGCTGGCCTTACAACTTCACACAATCACCAACCCGCGGCTTGAAGCCGGATTCTAACGGAGTAACGACAGTCTAGGTCAAAGCGTCCCTCTCATAATTATTTATGCTGATTCTCAGGCCCACTCATGTAGACGAGAAGTTGTAACTGCTGTATCTGCCATTTTATAACCAATTTAGGCAAACGTAGAAAGATGGAGAAATAAAATGCTGCATCGAGAGAAACTCCGTCAAGACATGAGGGAAAAAGAACGAGAAAAGGATAAAAAGTTGAAGAGACTGGAAAAAGAAGAAAGACTGGAACCGGATAAAGAAAACTCAGAGGTCTCGAATCTTTAAATTTATTTTCATGATATTTTAAGTGATAGTTGGTAGACAGCAAATGCTTGTGACTTTATGCCCCACAAAGTGGAAACGCGACGGCCCCGAAAATGAAACAAATTTTAGCTTGCACAAAGCTCCATCAAATTTACCTTGCGAGGGCTGTTCTTGCGCTGGTTACGCAATACCAGTCACTTACTGAAAGAAATAGTGGATAATAAATTATGAATTTTACATATGCCAAACTCTCTGTCATCAATGATAAGGTGAAGGCGTCCCCATAAATTGAGTCCTAAGCTATAAGCTGCCACAAATTCTATTCCTAAAAGTTTGTGTATGGCATCAAAGCCTCATGATCAGACTTACTCGACGGTATGCGCTTCTTTTACAGGACCGTCCAACAACACCTCGAAGTCTTACAGCAGAGTAAGTCATAGTTCTGTTGTTTATCGTTATGTAGAACTCTATTTTGTTACCCGAACAAAAGAGAGACATAGTATATGCCTATTTCGTGTTTTAGAGTCATGCTAATTCGCTCTTCCGTTCATTGGTCTTCGATACCAGACCTTACCTGTGGGCTGAAAAGTGATACCGGTAAATTTTCAGTCTTAAAACGTACCCAATGACAATTGATTTTCACAGACGTAAGCGAAGATCTCGTGTAGACCGTTGGCGAAAAAACAAAGTTGGAACCTCAAGCTCGAAGGGCACGAGCAGTAGCAGCAGCAGCAGTAGTGATTCAGAGGAAAAGAAGAAAGACGAGAAAGCCGAAGAAAAAAAGAGGAAACAGAAGGAAAAAGAGAAAAGAAGGAAAGCAAAGGTATCCCTAAACTTGCAGATTTAAGTCAAGCCATTAGATCTATTTCCTTAGGTGTTATTATCACATTTCAACTTTTGTTCCTCTTTTAAATAATACTGATTTCTTGGACCACCGTTTCGTCAAGACCAAAAACTTTGCTTATCGTAATTGCTAGTCTTCTCATCAATCATCGTTTCATCACTAGGTGCCGCCTCTCGCGATTGGCCAAGCTGCTCGAGAGGCAGCACGAGAAACAGCTTGGACAATCAGAGAAACTCCTGGTGTTCGCCTCGTGTCTGTCAGGCCGCACAATGAGGTAAACTTGCGCCCGAACTAAACATACTTTTTTACAGGTTTCAGTGGTCATTCAGTGGTGACCATTCTTTGTTCTAATATTTCCTTCAACAGAAGTTACGTTGGATGGTTCTAGGACACAAATGGCTACTGTGTTCCGTTGTTTGAATAAGGACACCTCTTTCAGAGGTGTCTATTTTGAAAAACGAACAAGCCATTTTTGTAGCAATAACGAAAAAACAAACAAACTAAAACAAGAATGAGAAACCAGTTTTTTCAAAGCAAAAAGCGCTAACTCAGGTTAAAAGATAAATATATTTAGCATCATCATTATCATTTATTTGCTTTTTTTAACAATAACAAAAAAAATTAAATTTACAGCATTATAATCGTAAGGCGAGGAGACCTCAAGAAACCACCGGATTTATAAAAGAGGCCACTCAACTTGGAGCAATTTATTTAACGACTGCGAATACTGAGTTATCTTTTCCATTTTTCTTGTTCAAAAATTGGTGGATAGTCTTTAATTGTCCGTCATTTTGTCTCCTTCTCGCCTCCATTATTTTTATTGAAAAACTATTTTATTCATCTATTCAAATGCAACAGGGATGGCAACCACAAGCACCTGAGTCCACGCCCACGCCGGTGTATGAAGTGCCTCAGACACATCAGGTAGGTGGTGAAGGACAATCCTCCTTGACGATGAAACCGGACATTAAATTTGAATCATTAATTAAACTGATATAGTTTGTACAATTTTATTAGGATTACCAATATAATTGCTACGTTTTTAAATTGAGTTTGATCAGAGAAGTGGCTTGAAAACCAAAGGAAAATATATATTTCCAAAGCTCAAGTCATGATTCGTTACTTTTTAACTGTTCATTTTCGCCAGGTTTCGCCCCGCCGTCAGCAAAGAGATCGAGTCCATTATCTGCTGGAAACAGGGTACCCAGTCTGGCCCCTGATGACAACTCCTCTTGTACAACCCGAATATCCAGAGGAAGAGGTTCAGTACGAGGATATGGAAGGTGGGTTGGGAATAAGAATTAAACAATGAGAAGAGCCTGTAACCACATACTAAACAGTAATTTTCAGAAAATTGGTTGTCATTCTTTCGCTTGTTCACTCCCGCGATTTAAAAGAAATCTAGAATACTGGACAGAATAGAAAAGCATCAAACCTGAAGGAAGTTGAAAGTAAAAACACGTCACTGTGGCACCATTTATGTTGGTTTAAAGGGTAATCTGTAACTCTAAATGTAATATCTATTTTATCCGAGCTTGTAACTCAAAAACACTCAAGTTTGTTACCAAAATACTCAATGGAGTATTTTGGTTGTATGATCCCCCATAAGGCTCTCAATCATTCTTATGATACGTTCCCCCTGTCATTGGCAGTTAATCGGTGATCAGTTTTCTATATCCCCTTCTTTATACTCTGTTGGCAACGACTAATCCCCCCCTCTCCGTCCCCAAAATCAATCATAACAAGAGAAGTGAAGGCTTTTGTTTGTCTGGATTAGGTTTGGATCCATATATTCCTCAGTATGATCAAGAAATACATGTTAATGGAGACACCATCCCAAGCTTTCGCCCACCAGAACCACGGGAAGCCTTTGGTGACTCAAACTTTTACGACGACGAAGAACACATTTACACAGAACCAAATTTAACTCCTGCGTCACTTCCCCATACACGCCTTGTGAACCCTCGTCAAAATCAAACACGTCCACTGATTCCTACACAGTATGCGCATGGATATGTGGCAAGGCCGGCAGTGTCTAGAGGCCGTCCAACGTCCGCTTCACAACAACCCGGAGCTTCCAGGTCTGTTGGATTAGGAAGGCCAACTTCCGCAAGGACAGACCCTGCAATGCCTCGTTATACACCTTCACCACTGCGCTCGTCGCCGCCCAATCGCAATGTGGTTTTGTTACCGGTACGTTTCAGCCCCCTTTCTATAGTGTTCAAGTTAAATATTGGATGATTATTCAGACAGAACTCAGGATTTACCGTCTTTCTTATCTTATGTGATAATTATTTTCCACGTTTTGCAGGGTTCCAGATACTTGCCAGGTAATCGTCCTACAGTCGCCAACGCAGCTCAACCCAGCATTGGTACGTCTCCGCGTTACATGGTTGATCCTGAACGGAGACAGGAACCTCCCAGCTCCTTCGACAGTGCGCGTATGATCCTAGCTAGAGCTAAATCGAACCTCGACCGTTTCGAAGAAGACAGTAGAATCAACGACTCACGTGAAACCGGTCCACCACCTACTTCGGAGCCTGTACATTCCACACCGCAAAAGAAGATACAGCCTCACGCTCAACCATTCAGAGGGCAAAGTCGATTTCCATCGCAGCAGGAAGTTCATCCTATTCGTAACTCCCGAATGGAGGTGTCTGCAAGGGAACGTGCTGAGCTGGAGGCGCAACTGCTGGTGTCTCGCGCTTTAGCTCGGGCCAGAGCAAACGTAAGAACTTAGCATTCATTCACTGCAGTTACTATCAATCTGGCCAACTAGGAAGGCACTCGCATTTTCTCATCTTACAGGCCTATGCTCACATTGCAGCTCCAACAAGGAGTTGCTTTGGTGTATCGTTGAATTGCTTTTTAAAGAATCAGACAGTTGTGAGAGTGAGTTGAGAAGTTCACAGCGCAAACAAACTTATTTAAAAATTTTCCGTATAGCTGTTTCAATTGCCATAGCCATGACATGGCGACAGAAAAACGGAAAAATCAAACTCCCTTCTAGTGTACGGTCTACTTCAGGTTTAGATATTTTAAACTGCAGCATATAATCTCTTGTCCAAGTCTGCTGTGTTCTATGAAACGCTTGCAAATCAACTAGTAGGATGGAAAGATTGTAGTCGACCATGTAAAGTTTTATCAGATATATTTTGTAAGGTATTTGCTTCATGGATAATAGACCTCATTAGTTTTAATGCCCTTCTAGATATCCATGATGATACTCGAGGTTCGTTTTTTTTTTCTTCTCAAAATTATTCGTATTTAAAGGGAGGGTAAAACCTGTTGAGTATTTCATGTGATCTCAAAATGCAATAAGCGAACAGCACTGATAGGGGTTATTTTGATTTTGCTACATTTGAATTGGTTGGGTACCCTGTTTTTTGTTTGTGTTATGTTTCTCATCATGGGAATGTTTAGTATTGCTGACATTTAAATGCAAGTCCGTGTTGATGTTAGTGTAAGCTTATTGTTCAAGATAAAAAATGACAAAGATATAGTAAATATTACAGCTGTAAATTTCTTAATATGCCATCCAGTCTTCTTGTGAATAAGATGAAGGAAATGAATATTTGCAGACGAAAAGCCTGTTTATATATAAAAACTCCTATGTCTAAAGATATTTTATTGTTCATAACATTGATTAAAATAAGTTGTATAATATGTATGATTAACTTTAAGAAAACAAAGAGGATACAAATAAACTTTTATAATTTGAATGGTGAATTTGGTGACCATATTTTCGTCTTCCGAAGGAGAGCAGGAAACTCACGACCTATGATGAAGACTGGTTGTTCAGAAGTTTACTAATTAATTCTAACCGGATGTTTATCATCGCATTCTATCTTTCCTAATGTCCTAACCATAGTATTCTTTGTAATCCATAAGTTTTAATTGCCTCTTTTAATGAGTCGTCACATGCTGTTGAGAAAGAAGTTATCATTACGCCCCATTGCGTATTATCATAATCTAGCCATTATAACAGTTGCCGGACTAACCCTGATTAATCAGTGGAGAAAGTAATCAATCTTCTTAATTTTTAGCATTTTAATGTCTGATGTAATCAGTTAATATCATTTTAAGTTTCAAGCACTAATAAACAAAGCCTAACTTGCTAAATTAGAGTGAAACTCAAAGATGAAAAGCGAAACGTCTAAAGCTGCTTTTAAGGTGAGATGACATACAAGCTTAAGATTTGTGATGTCCAATTGGTTATTTATTATTTTTACGAAATTCGTGAAAATGAGCAACCACAATAGAAAGGTAATTTACTGTTGGAATGGGTTCAATTCAGTTTTTTTGTAAATAAAATAATATTGTCCTTACTCTGTTCTTTTCCGTTCACAAAGTAAAGGCTGTTCGTTATCCTTTTGGTACTATTATCTCTGATTTTAATTATTATTTATTTACAGAAAATGACGACTGCAAAACAACAAGGAAGCACCTTGTAAGTAACTCTGATTTGATTCCATTTTAGTCGGCTGTTTTATATGTAGCTCACTGGTTGTGTTTTCGAGAAGACGCAGCATTTTTGTGACGCGACCGTCCGAGTAAAAAAACTCTATTAATATCTCTGATGATTTTTATTGTCAACGTAAACGTTTTTGGATTCTCTTACTGAAAAATATATATCTTAACAGACGTTTTTTGTCTGAGTATTTTTACGAGTTGCGATACTACACACCAAAACGTGTAATAAATTCTCTATTGTCCAACTGCTTTTTTTTCTGCTAAGTCTTTCTGCTCGTTCTTCATAAGGCGGGAAAAGCCAAGCGGATAGAAAAGCATAGCGCGCGCAGCCAACTGGCTAAACAAGTGTTTTTTTACAGTACAAATAACCAACTGTCGAAATAACCGTACAATATCGCAGGATAGTTGTACTCTATTCGAGCGTTATTTGCATTCTACTTTGTGCAGTTCGATAATAGATACGAGATTGACCATTTATTGAATTGTACATCCGGTTCGTCTATGTACGCGTGACTTACTCCACACTTTTATTCTTGTTTACTGCTTACTACAGAGGGTTCCCCCTACATATATCAGACTTTTCAGTAAGTTAGTTAACGATAATTCTCTCACGAATGAAACTCCCCCCTCTACGTTGTGTTCGCTCTGCTCTCCTCCTTTACGTCTTGCGCATGCATCAGCTGGCTTAAAAGGAAATCTTTTGAGATGTTCTTTCATTGTTATTTCTTGCAGAAATATGCTTGATCTTGTCAAAAAACGTATCACCCATCATGCAGTCAAACCGAAATACAAGAAAAAGACCAACAAAGATAGCAGTAGCAGCAGTTCAAGTAGTTCGGTAGAGTCTAAAAAGAAAGACAGCAAATCTAAAGATAAAATGAAAAAGAAGTCATTCGACAAACAAGCCATTGTGCGACCTCTTCCGTCTACGCCTCCTGGTGCTCAAACAAAGATTTGTCTATAGTTACAGAATATCCACCTATGATAGATAAGATAAAGAATATAATGCTAAGTTTAGAGAAAAATGGATATTATGAGGCAAAAATATAATTATTATAGACTAGCTATTTGTTTATACATTACGTCGTTCATCTGTTGGCTTCTAGCTTTGTGCCTCTAGTTTGAAAAATCGATCATGGATAAAAGTTCTATCTTCCATCTCCTGCACCCTTAAAGGAAAGCTAAAAGGGTGTTAACCTGTGTTTTGTTATTGTTGTTGTTTTTTTCTCAATGTCCGTGCTCGTTCTGAAAACAACTTTTACAGCGGCTTCCTCTGTTAAGTTACCCTCTTCCCCTACAGGAAAGAGTTGTAGCAAATGCGGTCTTTGGCAGAGAGGTGAATTGTGGAGTATAGACTATTAAATATTTACCCTTGACTGCACGATACCTTAAGTGTTTCCTTTTCCTTTTCAGAATCCATTAGGTACTCCATACATAGGCGTTTAAACTCTCTATTTGTCAACTCATGATCGTGGATACAATTGGGCTAACACATACATACTTTATTTTGTAACATAAGAAAAAACTACAAGTGCTTTTTGTGAAAACCTCTATTTTTACTGACGAGACTGTGTAACACAACCAGAAAAATATCTTAGCAGTGAATAATTACTGCAAGAAGACGTGTCATCAAATGAGAGTCTATATCTATTAAGAGTTTCAACCATGGCCAAACGAAAATGAAAATTTAATCTTCAGGCATTTTCTGCCCCATATTTTTCCATTGCATCGGAGTGAACACGCTTTGACCTTTGATCTTTGACGCAAACCAATCTCCAAACACCCAGCCCCTCCACACTTGGGCGGCACCCCCTGATCGTCCGCAGCACAGCACCATGAATACACTCTCTAGAGTGAGGAACGGATAATAGACATTCTGAGTAATTTCTAAATGTTCGACCTTCAACCTAGCTAGAAGGAAAAACCAGGCCGGTTTGTGTTTTTATGAATTTTTTTCATTATTGTTCAAACTATCATCTGTGCCTTAGACAATGAATATGGCTCGATCAATTGTAAAACTGTAAACAGCGTATTTGCATGATGACAGAGAATGGTAGTAATCTATTGACCCAGTAAATCTTTAAGTTTTTACACCTCGCTTAAGTACAATCCAAATTTTTTATGACCATTACTTTGTAATCCATTTAAAAAAGGTCAACATTGCCAAATTTTTCATCCCCCCGCAGAACGATTACGTCACATTGATGCCGAATACTTACTGTTAACGTTGTAAGGTTTCATCGCTTTCCCCTCATGTTTGAGCTTTAGGTTGTCAGCAATGTACTTTCCTTGTGTCTCAGCTCCATACGCCAGCTTGATCTCTGGAACATCGTTACAGTCCCCGATCGCGTACACATCCGGAACATCTTTCACTTGGAGAAAGTCATCGACATTTAGACGACCAAGTCGATTCATTTTATCTCCTGTAATCAAAGGCAAAGTATTTTGGCCTTATTCACTTATTTATTGCGTTTAATCCCCAGTGTGTGTATCCATTTACAAGAGCTTCATCTAGTCATGTGGTGTTTTTGTCCAGTTAAATGCAGTGGAGTACAGTAACTGGCGTTTTTACAACCTGAGCACAAATCATCATAGAAACATCTAGAGTCCTGTTAAGTCGCCGAAACGTACGTCAGAGTCTGTCACCAACAACTGTCCTCGGATAATCAGACTACACGATCGAATGAATCACGTATACTGTTCTGTTATATTGATCACGACCGGTTAACCTCGTGGTCTTCCACTACATGTACATGAGTTCCTTCTTAAGTCAATTGCGGACGTTCAGTTCACCAATATTCGCCAATAAAATAAGACTGACCTAGACTTTTCCTGTAAGCTTCGGTGTTCACTTTTAGACCAGTGCAAGGAATGACCAGGTCTACTTTCATTTGCCTCCCTTTATCGGTGACTAGCATGACGTTTTGATATCCCTTTTCTTTTACTTCGTCCATATTCATCACTCGCTCCCCTACATGGCAAAAGATAAATCATGTTTGCTAGAACCAAGAAGAAGTATCCAACTCATTAATATTAAGCAGACGAGTTGACAGGTAAGCTGTCATTAAGCTAGCCAGTCAGCCACCAACCAGCTTTATAGACAGACAGACGAACAGACCTTACAGATAGATTAACTGACTGACAGGTTGTTAGACAGGCAGGCAGGCAGACAGAAGAGCGGACAGATAGACAGACTGGCAAACAGAAAGACATTAGACAGAGGCTGAGAGGCAGAACGGCATAGACAGACAAGGGTAGACACACACTGCCTAAGTTCCCTGTCCCCTACATTCTTGCAACGTTTTTGTGAGTGTTGTTATTTTCATTTTTTATTCTCTGTAAGATCGAGTAGGAAAAGACTGAGAGAGTTAACATAAACAAACTGTATAGCATAAATGTAGCAGCGACATACCAAGAAACATGGTGACCCCTAAACTTTCAAGCTTTGCCTTGATCGTGGACTGAAAGGTCTCGTTAACTTCATCATTGACTAGATTTTCCCTGGGATGTATGAGATACACATCGGCCTTGTCTTTGTAATCCTCCATGATGTCTCCAGCTATTTCCACTCCAACAGCTCCCCCACCTACAACCCCGATCTTCATGGCGTCTTTTACCTGAATAGCAGCAAAGAATATATGAGGATTGAAGCTTAGAAGGTAAGGACTGACTGTATTGTACATCTTGATTTAACTGTGAATGTTCAAAAGTTGCAATCCACACTAATCTTGTTCATCCTTATATGTTTGACTCCCTTTTCAAACAAGCAGTAAATAGCAATAAGGCCTAAATCGGACATTCCGCATCCTCTGAGCTTCATTCTCTCGTGGTAACACTTACTAGCTTGGTATACTTCTCGTAACGCTGAATGGCTTTGTCCTTGTTTGTATCCAAAGGAATTTTCGCAGGAAATGGGCCACCAGTGCCAGTTGCAAGTACGAGGTCATCATAAGCAATTTTCTCTCCAGTTTCCAGCATTATCGTCTTCATGGATAGATCAATATCAACGACTTTCCCTTGCTTGAAGCTTTTGCCAAATGTTGGTCCGTAGGGAATGAAACACTTTTTGGCAAACCCTGTGTTGAAGCAATGTTTTACAAATACGCGTGATCTGTCTAAAAAATAATCTGTCCTTACTGAGTCATGAGACTAGTAATCCATCTCACTGTTAGCAAACGGAATCACTCATCATTATACGGCTGTAAAATTAAATGCATTACGTAATTATATTTAAGAAAAACCTATGGAAGGAAATAGTAAAATACCACATTAGTGTTTTTATGATACAGTAAAATCAAATGTTTCAAGGGAATTGTTTTCATTGCCTTTTAAATCTTCACTCAATCCTAAATTTCTCTTCCATCGTTTTGGTCTCTGTTCCGATTTTATACAACTTAAAAACTAGTCCTCTCCACGAAGCTGAAGTCTGTTCTCCTGTCCATATGACGTATTTGTTTCACTTCCATCATTTTAGGGGAGACCACAAAAAACAACTCGGAAAAAAAGAAAAAACCAAAAGAAATGAGGCAATGATGAAATAATGTGATGAGTGGATGGCGAAGGATAAAGAAGAACCAACCAGATTGCATAGCTCGACGTATGCATGCTCGAGTTTTAATAAGAAGCTCCTCAGAGACCAGCAGTTACCTTCATCTTAGTAATTTGTATTTGAGCTATGATTAATAAAGCCTACCTGCCTCCACAGAAGATCTCTGAGCACCCATGTTATGATGAAAGGCATCTCTGGCGTCGATTAATGTCACTTTGCATTGATCCTTTAATTTTTTCGCGGCAGCAATTCCACCATATCCACCGCCCACCACAACTACATGGGTGTCCTTTAGACTTTTAACGTTTTCATCTCGAGCATGGACAGCTTTTGAATTAGAAGGAAAAAATATCATTGACACTACTGAGAAAATCAATCTATCAGGTAAAGGTAAAGAAATATGGTAATTAAAATTGAGTATTTGATATTATAAAATTGTAAACAACACCATACAATTCCAAACTGAGGGATACAGTCGTGCGCTTGTTAAGGAAATCGCTCTTAGCGAAACACAGTGGTTCAGAAAACACAGAATTCGTTGTTGCTCATATTGGAAAGCAGTTCGACTTTGCCATTTGCACTTCAGTATAATCCAAGCACGTGTTCAGTTAAATGAAAGACAAAGTTAATCAAAGATTTAGGTAATGGCAGTTCGTCGAATAGTGGAAAGACATAAAACGTATGAAGTCATGTAGAAGAGTTAGTTATATGACAAACTGAAGTTATATACAACTGAAAGAAGTCGGCCCGTTTGCGTGACATAGACTACTGTCAGAACAAGGTGTTCCTTACTCCGGCGCTAAGTGTCAAAAGAGTCACGCTACGCTTTCTTTATTAAGGCACACACGATTAGGTAAAAATACATATACTACGATTGAAGGAACGAAATTAAAATTTTATTTTTAACGTACAATTTGAAATTTCATGCATGAGCTAAAGCAGACATGCTAAGAAAATGCTTTTGCTTGTGTACAATTGTCTGGTAAAGAAAACGCGTGAACGATTTGATTATTTAAGCACATGCAAATTACAGTCACTTAAGCTTGCTACAGTGCGTCTATTTTGGTTTGTTTTCGATCAAAAACGCTCAATTTATGTCTTACTAAGCTGTTTAACTATGTTTACTGCAAAAAACATTCATACTCGCAAAACAAACATAAGCGGTGAAAGCGAAAACATAGTTCGTATCATTACCTGTGCCATAACAAGCGTGATATCCAAGCAAAACTGCCGATCCAGCCGCAATACCAGCGCTTAAGAAAGGAGCTGCATTTCTTAGACGAACTGAAAACATTTTCTTACAGTAGAGAAGCTAACGAAAGCGCACGATCTATGCAGATAAAAGCAAAAGCCGACAAGAATAAAAGCTCAACACGCCGATCGGAGCTTTATCAAAAATACATGAATATTCAAGTTGTGTTACATGGGCGCTGATAAAATCAACAAATGTCCGCGGGCACATGTATCGTCCATGGGTGTTGGCGGAGGTTTTCAATCTAATGCCCTGTTCACACCAATTTAAACAAGTTTCATTAAACGTAGTTTTTTTAAACATGGTTTTATAAAACATGTGTTGCTCAAGAACCGTTCACACTGCAGACTGGGTTAGGTATTACGCAGCCTCGTTTTGATATTAATTGTTGCCAACAAAATTAAAGACGCAATAAAAATGGCGGTCAGTTTAAATCACAATATCCTGCTGTTGTTGACGCAGTCACGGCTGAGGGAAAACCTCAGAATTACACAAAACCGACAGAGAAACGCAGAGAGACGGTTTAATCGCTATGTCCGTCGGAGACGTCTCGTTTCATCATTGTTTTTCCGTTTTTTGCTTCGATTTCTTCTCCAACATCTTCCTGTTCGCCGTATTTGGCTAAAACCCCGGTCGCAGATATTTTGGGAAGAGACTTGCCAAGATTGGGAAGAAAAGGACTGGAATGAGAATTTTCGCATGTCTAAAGAAGCATTTAATCGCCTTTGCCGAGAACTTTCGCCACATATCTCTAAAAGGGACACCAATTACAGGAAAGCCATTACAGTGCGTCATCGAGTTGCCATAACATTATATTGGCTTGCGGACACGGCTCACTTTCGAACGATCGGAAATCTATTTGGTGTCGGAAAATCCACTGTTTGTGGTATTGTGCGACAGGTATGCGAGGTGATAGTGAACGTTCTTCTTCCCAATTATATAAACGTTCCCCAAAATCAACATGAAGTCCAAGAAAAAATTGAAGGTTTTAAAAGTCGCGCGGGTTTTCCCCAGGTGGTTGCAGCAGTCGATGGTTGCCATGTCCCAGTCATTGGACCTCGGCAAAGTCCAGATGATTATGTTAACAGGAAGGGATTCCACTCATTAATCCTTCAGGGGCTAGTAGATTGTAATTATCTATTTCTTGATATATGTGTTGGATGGCCGGGTAAAGTACACGACGCACGTGTCTTCAAGAACTCTTCATTGTTTGCCTTGTGTTGTGCCAGAGCTTTTCTTCCGCTCGACATGTCGGTGATGATATCTGGTGTACAAGTTCCTCCCCTGATATTAGGTGACTCAGCTTATGCTCTCAGCAATTGGCTGATGAAACCATATATTGATTGTGGAAATCTGACCCCGGAGGAACGCAGTTTCAACATGTAACGATAGGATTTTTAGTTATCGAGTTCTTTCATGCTTGCGCTTAAAAAATACAGTATTCAACGTAGAAAGCTTAGTTCAGCAAAGCGTAAACACTACCAGTTCTCCTTCAGTCACCCGTAAACAGTTGTTATTAGTGTTGAACTGTAACAGCCACCTGTCATGTCCTTTTGTGTAACTGTTATCCACCGGAACTCTTTAAAAGTAATTAGTGTTGTAAAAGGCGAAATTCCTGCTTAGCCAATAGTATAGTAGATTACATGATTCCTTTAGATTATTCATGGCATTACGTTATCCATGTACGTTAGGCTTAAATAGGACTGTTCTGTAAAGCTTAAGGGAAGAGAAGGAGGAGAAGAGAGGAGAAAAGAGGAGAGAGAAGAGAGGAGAAGAGAGGAGAAGAGAAGAGAAAGAAGAGCAGGGTCGAACCAGCCCTGGCCAGGTCCGTTCTGGTCAAAATTGTAGTAGAGCTTGCAGAATAAATCTACGTTGGAGCCAACCCTGTTGTTGTTAGTCATTCTCTCAAGGATAGTCAGCAGCCGTAATAGATTCCGGTTACCTTCCCGCAGCCAGCGAGTGCCCCCAAGGAAAGCCTTTACCCAGAAAGAGTTTTTAAGAGTTGTCCCCGTCCGTCCGTTCATTTGTGAAGGCAAAACCCTGTTTTCACAAACATAAAACACAGCACGACTAGAGTAGTTGTTGAAAATGCCTTTGGTCGATTGAAGGGAAGGTTCAGAAGCATTGGGAAGAGACTGGACTTAAAAGTTGAAAATGCCTGCAATGTCATCGCAGCGTGTTGTGTTTTACATAATTATTGTGAGATGCGAAACTAGTCTTTTGATGACCAATGGCTCAATGATATTCACATTCATGCTGGAGTTTTTCCAGGTGATCCAAACCAAAGGCAGAGCACAAATGCTGTTGCAATAAGAGATGCAATTAAAAGAGTCTTAATATAAATATTCATTGTCACATGCATCACTTGAACATGAGTGTTCAACATAAGCATCTCTCACAGGCAAATAATCCATCAAAGAGTTTGCATCTCTAGCTCAAAAAAGTCGTTTATATGAATAATTTCTCCCTTTAAGCTTTATTGTATACAGTGCAAATAGTTTCATAAATAATGGGAGAGTCAAGGTCTTTTGAAGGACACTCCTCTAAGAGGGTCAAGCAGTGTTCCATTTGTAATTACAGTTGTATAAATGAGATTTGAAAAGTAAATTGTCAATTGTGTAAATTAAAATTACTGATGGCAAACTTTGATTGTCTGTGGTATTCTTTGAAACCCCCACATTTTTTTTGAACATTTCAAAACCTGGACACCATCTGAGAACAATTAAAGATGCAGTCATTGCAAGTTTGCCATTTCACATGTGAAATAAACATATTAGCACTGAAATTATGCTAAAAAATTAGGGAGTAGTTTGAAACCCATGGTGTGACATATGCCAATTTAGCCATGCATACTACATGTTCACATAAAATACTAATTTGAGTGCAAGACTTGCATCTTCCTCTCTGAGTATTAGATGTAGGCATAAAGAAGGAGGGGGACAATCTCAGCTTTTCGATCAAAGTGTTCAGTTCGAATAGCAAGGAGATCTACTCACTCAGTGACATGGCCTCAGCTGGCATTAATGTCAGCAAAACTAATTTAATTCACTAACTTTTTGCTCTTGTTCCATTGCAAGTGACTGTGTAATTATACACCACAATTTTTTGGTTAGTCCCTTACAAGAAAGAGTAATTAAGCAAACAAACACACAGAGCTCTCTGTTGTAAATTTATCAAGGAGACTTAAAAATACATCATTCATATGACCCCCTCTCTCTGAACAACTGATGGAACCTCAGAAACAAATTTCATCATTTTAAAGGTGGATCAAAACTTTATTTCAAATATTAAATCAATTTTTCCAAAAGATCCTAACCACTGTGCACAAAAATATTCATTTATTTCATTAATTTTCTGGAGCATTTTTTAAATACTCTGGGCCAGGCCGTTCAAAGGTGGCTTAACTTAACCCAGGGTTAGTGTGAAATTTGATTTCAAATATGAAAATTTAAAAAGGAATCCATTTTCTTTTTTTTTTTTTGTCTACAATTTGATGATTAGATGGTCTAAAAGGAATAGAGAAAATTATCCCAAAAAAGACTCCTGAATAAAGAAATGAAGAAGCTGAATCAAAATTTAACCCTGGGTTAGTGTTAATCGGCCTCTGAACAACTAGGCTCTGCCGGAAAATTAAAAATAACACTTAAAGGAAAAAAACGATTTTTATTTCCTCAAAGAAAAAAAAAAAGCATATTCAATTGAAGACAACTATAGAAGACAATTAGTTCAAGTAAAGAAAAGTTAACCAGAGCATGTCAACATCAATGATCTAATCGGTAAGTTCAATATAGTTTTCTTTTTTTTCTTGCACCTTCTCCAACGACTGGGAATCGGCCATTAGATTTCGTGAAACATCGTTCAACTTACAGCATAAATAAAGCCGAAAACTAAACCAACTGAAACTGTCGCAGGTACGATCGCAAATTAAATTGTTGAAGACACGTACTTTTTATTTTCGAAGTACCTGCGCCAATTTCAGCAGAAAATCCTGGTCTTCCTTCCTTCTTCTCTCCTCCCTTTCTTCTTCTCGTCTTTCACAAGCCTCCTTTGCGGCAAGAAAACTCCTATCAGCAGCTTGTTGATAGGAAACAAATGCCTCGAACGCCTTGTCAATTTGTGTTAAGGCATCCGTCGTTGACACCTTCCGCTTCTTCGTAGCGGGTTTGAAAAATGGCTTGCCAGCATCTGTTGTTCTTTCTGTGAAGGAATACAAGAAATCTTTAAAGGCAGAAGTTAAAGTTTGAGCCAATACTTATCTCAATATTTTTGTTCAACTCCACTCATCTTGGAAGTAAAATTATCAAGAAATTTTGTTAGAGATTACAGACAACGTAGGCGCCGATATTGAAATATTTTCTTGGCTTATTGTTTGACCCTCCAATCAGCGAAAGCTTTCAAAGCTCACCTGTCAAACATTCACCCTTGTTTGGTTGAGGAAATTTGCCGGCTGTTTTGTTGCTGCTGCCGACGCTGGTGCCGCCCCTGAAGGAAGGCAACTCTTCGTTTGGTTCATCGTTCTTAATTTTTTCATTGTCTTCTTCTTCGTTGTCCGCCTCAATGATAATTTTTGAAGAATTTACCACAACCTTCGGTTTGGTACATGGTTTTTTTGAGAGAAATTCATCGACTTCGTCGAAAAACGCCGGCTTCCTCTTTGGAGTCCCGTTTCCGGTCTTATCACATTCGTCTTTGTAGGAGCGATACGCACTTACTAATGTGTGTACTCTTGTTTTGCAGGCATCTTCATCACGGTCTTCGTAGCCTGCCGCTCGAATAAAATCACTTATTTCTTGCCATATAGGCCTCTTTCTGGTACAAGATATTAACTTCATTTGTATATTTTCGTCCCCCCACTTCTGTAGTAACAATAACGTTTCCTGGTTTTCCTAATTCCTTCCGCGGGTTTTTTTGGCAACCGCCATCTTTAATGTGTTTAGTTAAACACGAAAGTTAAACAACCTCATTTAGGTAGTTTTATTAAACACGGTTTTAAACATGTTTGGCTACACGCACCCGCGGTGTGAACAGGTAGTTTAATAAAACCAGTTTAGTAAAACAAGATTTAAACATGTTTAAGCTTTGGTGTGAACGGGGTATAAGTTAAAAACAATTGTATGCTCTGAAAAGACATACATCAGTAATTTTTCCCGTCATTTTAAAATATATGCTACGTTTCAGAAGTATGGAACATTACATGGATGAGAACAACCCCGTTGATAGTAGGCACAACAAAATACTTTTCTCACTAGTAACCACTGATCAATAACAAACGCCCCGAATTCCCATGTAATTTCAGTGCATTCGCCAAAGCTTTCGTTTCACTTCCGGTCCAGCCTCTTCCCATAACCCACCTCTTCCTCGGCGCGTTGGAGGGAGCGTTCACAGTGTTAATTTTTTACCATGTTATTGGCTGCGAACATTAGGGAATTACAAGGGGAAGGTTATTTTGAACTCAATATAACAATTTTTTTACTCCGCTGGGAAAGTTTGTTCAGTTCTAGTTTAGTTATGGCAGGAGTAATCAAGTGTCTTGGGCAGATATATTCCAAGTCTTCTATGTAAATAACTCTTCTAACTGTTGCACATCTATCTATACTGATAAAATGGATGTTGCACCATTTGTGTTCCAAACGTATTTTTCAAAAATCTTGTTAATGACTCACTAAGCGGCGACATCACTTCGGTACTTCTGTTGAACATTGAACGTTTACGTGTCAGGTTGTATTTACAGTGAAATAACACTGTTGAAAGTTCGGGAACGTATGTACCTACTCCAAAAGGGTTCAACGCCTTCTCAATATAGGAGACAAACAAATCGGTGACATGACTTTGGTTACAGGCGATAATGTCATTGCTTGCCTAATGTGTTTAATTAGTTATATCCCACAGGATATAACTCATGGCCCATGAAATTCAAGCTATAAATTATAAATGTTCAAAATTTCTGTCTTGTGCATCTGGATTTTCTTTCAACTTCCTGCTAAGGCCAACGTAACTAGAAACAGAGTTAACAGTTTATATTGACAACGTTTAATATTAGCATGAGACGGAGGGTTGAATTTTGCAGGTTTGATAATATTCAACCTGCTTAATCAAGAATTCTGTTCTTTCCTTACCTGTAAGGGAAGGACTTGTAATTTAACCGAGTGTAGAGGTAACACGGTAATAATTCAGTGAAAGGTACTTTTAGCACCTGGCTAACCAGTTTATGCTGTTAAATCTTTGTTTCGATTGCAAATGTTTTATAGATGTTGTAATCCTTTCAGCCAATCAGAAAAAGGCATGCAAATCGATTACCTAAGAATCAGATGATTTCGTGCCGGTGGCTAAACCGTGCCATAAATTAAAGTTCACACTGCTGACAAAGGACGACTAGATGACAGCAAGAGTCTCGATGAAAATGTCCGTGAAAACACGAACCATTTGGTTGTTGTTTTATATTTCATCAATACAAGCACGGTATGTAACAAATTTCCTTATGTTTGTTGTAAAACAGTCTATATTTTAGGCTATTATCTTGTACTCATCTCTCTCAGCACTTTCTTGTTACCAAAACATCCGAATCACATGATACAGAGTTAACTCAGCGACTTAGGGTTTCTCCAACGTACAAAGACACAAACGTAGTGTAACAAGATAAAAAGTCATGTCTATTTGCCTTAAGCTGATGGTAACCATATTTATTGTTTTTTTAGAGGGCACGGTAACGAATCTTGCAATCTGATTGGTTCTTTACCCGGTCAGTATTTTCCTATCTCTGCCCACGGGCCACGGTAGCGCTTTCGTGAGTCACCGAGAACATCCCAACTTTCGTTGTCATTTTTCATAAATATACCTCGTTCTCCGGCTGGGCAGTATTTTTAAGCAAACACGTCGGTCTCTACCTCAAACCGATAAATAACTTATGAATCCTCCCTTTTCTCTCTATCAAATCACTTTGGTTGACAGAAAAATATTGGTTTCAGAATGAATTTGTTTAAACAATAGTGTCATTACGTTGGTTGACAAGCGGCCTAAAAACCGTCTGCAATTAATTTTAATCGTTCACAAAAAGTACCCAGAAAGTTGAAAGTGAGGTATTTGGTTACAGTTAAACTGAACGATGGAACTTTCATTCATTTAATATCTGAATTTTCTCGAGCAATTTGTTCATAGTTAAAAAAAAAAGCGAGCGAAGTTTTAATTTAAGTTCTACAACAAATATACGCTCCTGGTGAGTCTTTCCAATTCCGTTCAATTTGGACATTTGTACCTTAAATTGCACAACAGAAATTGAAGGAATTGAGAAAAGGCTGCATTAAATTCCCTTGTGTCTCGTTGGAGTGTGCCGTTCGAATTTAGTTTTTTTGAAGGAAAGATCAGAGTTAAACGCGCCATTACAGCAAATAAACGAGCAAACTCCCACAACTTCAAAATAAAAAATTGAATTTACTCACAATTACTTTCCTCGCCGTTTACTTAATGAACAGAGGTAAATCTTCGTACATGAATGAATGGTCGATGAGAGTAAATAATACTTTCCGTTAGATCATTAACTGATTTTTAAGAAAACATTGTCGTGACAGTCCTTGCCAAACTAGTTCTGTTGGTTTTCAAATTTTCCTACGATTTTTTTTTTCTTGCACGCTCTCTAATTGACAGGTGTCAGATTGTGACAGATATTTGTAAAAATAATGTTTCAAAGTTTGTTTGGAAGCCTTTTAAATCACCTTTATCGTTACGGAAATGAAAATATTTCGCTGAGGCATCTCTCTTAAATTTGCGTCACCTCTATTTTAACTACCATTTACTCACTCAAAAATTGTTCAGTTTATGGAAGATCTTGCCGTATTTACGGCCATAAGTCATTCAGGTTCTTTCGGAAAGAATTTCGTCACGAATTTCGTCAGAATTTGGTCGGTCCGTATGGTGAAAACTGTGACCGAGGTCTTGAAAATGCTGAAAGTATTTTCAAGACCTCGGTCACAGTTTTTCACCATACGGACCTCCCAGCCGGCAAATAACATATATATATCATATGTTAATTGTATCTGTCAAGCATCGGAGGAGGTTTGAAATTTATCAAAAATAAGCTGCTGACTATTTTTTAGTAAGCAAAAAGTCATGTCCTCAGGAAGACTGATCTTCGTTTAATTCTAATGTTTTGATTTAATGTGTTCTGAGGTCGTTTTGGTTTGGAATTTTTTTAAAGAATCAAAACGTGTTAAAACTTTTCACTGTGTTCTTTATTCTAATCCAGTACTAGTCTAGTACAAACGTTACCGAGCTGTTTTGAAAAGGTTAAAAACCAAAAGATTTTGTGATGAATTTCTTCGAAGCGGGAAGGGCCTCTTTCATCAAAAAAAAAAAAATGTGGCAAAACTTGTAGATATTTGCCACCAGTGCTACTCAAGACTTAAAAAGGAAAAATTGATGAACTTTTGCAGGTGCTAGTGAAAATCTCTTAACCCCCCAGATAAAAAATCACGTAATCGGTTTATAAATTGGTAAACTTTAGGTGAATGAGTAGGCCACATTTAGCTGTCGCCCGCTCTCCAAAATACTATTGTAGGTATACGAATAACAAAGACGCCAAGGATTGTTGCTGCATGGGTATGTGTGTTCCGGAACAAAGACACGAACGAAAATATATGGTAAATTATCAGAGACCCAATGGCCGATCCATCTGTTTTTTAACAGAGTCTTATTTTGCATCTTATTTAAATACGAGATTGTTAACAACAGGCCTGGGATAATTCGGATCAGTGTAACGATAGGATTTTTAGTTATCGAGTTATCAATATTCAACGTAGAAAGCTTAGTTCAGCAAAGCGTAAACGCTACCAGTTCTCCTTCAGTCACCCGTAAACAGTTGTTATTAGTGTTAAACTGTAACAGCCACCTGTCATGTCCTTTTGTGTAACTGTTATCCACCGGAACTCTTTGAAAGTAATTAATGTTGTAAAAGGCGAAATTCCTACTTAGCCAATAGTGTAGTAGATTACATGATTCTTTAGATTATTCATGGCATTACGTTATCCATGTACGTTAGGCTTAAATAGGACTGTTTTGTAAAGTTTAAAAGAGAAGAGAGGAGAAGAGAAGAGAAAGAAGAACGGGGTTGAACCAGCCCTGGCCAGGTCCGTTCTGGTCAAAATTGTAGTAGAGCTTGCAGAATAGATCTACGTTGGAGCCAACCCTGTTGTTATTAGTCATTCTCTCAAGGATAGTCAGCAGCCGTAATAGATTCCGGTTACCTTCCCGCAGCCAGCGAGTGCCCCCAAGGAAAGCCTTTACCCAGAAGAGTTTTTAAGAGTTGTCCCCGTCCGTCCGTTCATTTGTGAAGGCAAAACCCTGTTTTCACATCAGTCAGTAACTTTGCTGATCAAACCTGAAAAGTAAGATGTTGACAAAGAAAGCATCAGAAGAGAAATTTGTATCTGCTTTGCCTCCTGGCCAAATAAGTTTTTTCATTGCCATTACACGGCAACGACTTGTATCTTTGTAAGAGAGGGGAGATACATTTTTTTAAAAAACTCTGATTAAAGTGAAACTCGTCCGTTAAGATAATTTATGTAATGATATACTTATACACTACATACTTTTACTTTGTCTTAGACCTTAAGAGGATGTATGTCCATCGAAGCATTCCTTTCAATTTTAAATTACAGGGAAACTCCTGATAAAATTTTGAGTTTACTTTGACCAAAGTTTTGAAGATACTTCAGTATACCCTGCAATTTGCAGTATTATGTAATGAACGTCTTTGTTGTTTTTTTCCTGTTTTGTTTGTTTGTCTGTTTAATGTTCCTCATCGAAGTGGAGTAAGAGTTCGTCGTGATTTGGGTGGAGTTTGCCAAGATATGTGGGCAGCGGCCGGCAATAACATGGTTGTTGGGACGGATCTGGCAGTAGACACTTCAGCCACTGCCACGCAATTGTTTAGTCTTACGCCACCGGGTATCACCAAGCTAAGTCAACCTGTATACACAAAGTTCAAAGGTGAGGTTGATAACAGTCTGTGCAAGGGTGTATCTCATTGAGAGAGGGTTAATATTACAGCCTTAGTCTTTTACAAAGTTTTTTTTTCCGTGGTAATCCTTTCCAAACTACTTTTAGACAGGAGGTTTTTGGTGTCCCAGGGGGAAATGATAGATTGCGTTCTCTGCAAGCTCTTTAAATTTTCATGTGGAGAACAAATCGAAGCTGCATGAAAATTCACAATAGAGGATTATAGTTATTTCTGGGTCCTTTAGGACCTCCAAGAACAGTTGGAGAGATCTAAAAAATCCGAAATTTAAATTTAAAATAGGGAACGATGTCTCTGGTCCGACACATTCGTTCTTGTAGCTTGAGACCCTCTCCAATCTGCAGATCACTACTCTTGGTCTTAAACAGCAGAAGCCTTGTTCTTGGACAAGCCAAGTTAGGAAGTTCCGTTTTATCTAACTTGCGAAAGATCTTCGACCTTTTTTCTTAAGACATGATTGAATTTTCAACCAAGATTTCTCAGCGAAGTAATCTATTCTTTTGGCCTTGGCCAAGTTTCCAAAAGCATAATCAGCTCTATTTCAGATCTATAGGCATTTAAAGTCAACATTTGTGATCATATTTAGAAAGCGATATTACAATACACTCTAGTAATTTCCTCATGTCTTTGGAAAGCCCTTCTAGACAACTACATTGCAGACGAGACCAAACCAGAGAAGAGCGATGCGAATAAAGTGAATGAAGAAGATGACTTTATAAACACTATCGCTGTCCCTGGCGGGCCTATGCATTTCGCCTTTCAGTACCTAAAAGCAAGCGGAAAAACCACTGCTGTTGTAAGTTATCTAATCATTCCTTATATCAATTTGGTAAAATTCATTCGATTGTGGGTAATGCACCGGAATGGCATTAGATTTTCTTGACCTCTGTGTAATTTACACCCTGCTTGGTTGTAGCCCGCGTTGTGGTGTGGCCGGACTGCCATGCAGGAAGTCTTTGGTTTAAGCCTCAGAGCGGACCAATACCTAGGGTCTTAAATTAACTGAGAGGAATATGCTGCCTTTGCTATGACATTCCCAAATGGCTAGACATTCTAATCTACTCGGATAAGGACGATAAATGGTGGGCCTCGTCTCGTGCATTTTCTCTGTGCTGGTTAGCAGGGGACGTTGAAGAACCCGCGCACTTATCGCACAGAGTGGAGGACGTAGCTCCCGGTGTTGTGGTCTGGCCTTGTCCTACGCTCGTGACAGGACAAAAAAACCTGTCTCTCTGAACAACAATTATTTCCGTGCTTTATTAGGACTTAGACGCTTTCAAGCCAATACTGAAGACCATGTGGTTCACAAAGTACCCAAAAGGAGGAGACGTGCCGACCTACTCTGGATTTGAACACACATTTGTTGGTAAAACAAGGAAAGACTACTGTAATATCAAGTGCACATGCTGTTGTTTAAGTATTAGTTTGCCATCGCCAAGTTTCTTGGGGATAGGACGGGATGGATTCAGTACCCTCCCCTCTCTCCTTTTCATTTATTTATTCAAAAGATGTTACTTTTCAGCGTTCGTCTTATACCCGTCAATTCATAAGGTTCAATGAATATTTGTTGTAAAGTGTAAGAGACCATAGTCAAATACTGCTTGTGGCATTTGGTCAAAATAATATTTCTTCCTAGAGATACTAAACATCAGCTCAGTTTCGATTAGTAAAACCAAGTCTCGTTGGTTAAATATTGTTTTCACAGGGAGAAAGTGAAGCTGGGAATCGATATCTAAGCCATCTTACTTTTTTTCAAATGTGGCAGGTGAGATTGGTCTTGCGAAAGGAACAACAGTTGTCAAGGGTCTTCACAACTGGTACCAATTCCATCTGGAACAACAAGCACAAAGACTGACTTATATGCCTCCAGTTAAGAATGTCGTTGATTTGAACAAGAAGGTAACGTCTGATTTTCTCATAATAAAGAATAGATGACAGAACTTTACTCACCTCCAATTTTTTATATTTTTTCAAGTAAACTAAGGTTCGTTTCCATGATGTAACCCTTAAGCTTGATTCAGACATTATTTTCTGGCGAGCAGAAACATTAAAATCGAGGATAACAAGGGAAAAAACAAGGAAATTCTTGGTTGGAGAAAAGCAAACTATATTGTATAGTCGTTTCAATATGATAAGTATAAAAATATAAAATGACCTCACATGCTTGAAAGAGAAGATTTTCCAAGTACCCTAAATTAATCCTGATTTCAAAATGATAAGTGGTGACACTAGGTGATATAGAATGATATTAGTTTTTTATTATGATTGACAAGAAGGAGGCAAGTATTTCTAAAACAGTATCATAGAAAATTAGCAGGTCTACTTCCCAAAGATTCTTCTTCACATAAATTTAAGTGTGAAACTGCGATGGCACCTTGAGGAAATTTTGATCATCATTCATGTGTACTCATATGAATACCTCTTCTTCTCTCTCTTTACAAGGTGAGTGTGGTGGCCGCATACCCTTAAACCCTCCCCCCAGCCACGCCAAATCTGACTAACATTCACTATCTTATCACAGCCCCCGCTTATCAATGTGGCATTTACGTGGAAGGGATTTAACAAAGCTGGCAGCAGTTTCTATATCGGAACCAGCCCAGCATTTGAGATGGCTCTGTATACTGCATGTTTCTTTGGAGAGCCTGGTGACTGCACGTGTAACATAGACAGTCAGCCGCTCACGATAAAGACCATCAATTTCGAAAATGCGGGAATGGTTCTCACTTCATATCCCACAGCATAGACGTTTGTCATGGACAGGAAGTTTCACCCCTCTCCATCTTACGCGTTGTTTGCTTTATCCATGTATTCTTTATTTAGCTGTTTGTTATTTTTGCTGGAGGATTTAATTACATTGTTAATTTTATCTTTTGTTTACCCGCGTGTAGCTAATTGGTATGATTGACATGTTATTAATGAATAAACGTTAAACTTAATTCACATTGATAAGCAGCGTTTGATTATAAAGAACGTGCAGTTTTTATTTTTAAAAGACTGAGGTGGTCGACTTCTTTTCATAGAACGTTTAACAAGGCTTCCATTCTAGTGTCAAACGTTAGTGAATTAAATCGAAGTGATGATAGGTCACCATGTACGGGTATAATGTCGACATGACTTTCAATTGGGGCGAGTAACGTTTGAAAAGACTCCAGAGCATCGTGTCCACATGGGCCTAGAGGGACACTGGCCTCTTGGTGAAGTTGACGCGCCATTCGTGCTTGTTAGGATTCGTGAAGTCTCACATTTTCGTTATGTTGTTTGGTGTCTCTATTTTCATCTTTGTGCAGCCAGGTTTCGTGACACAGAAAGCTCGTGCACAGCAAAGGATTCATGATTTCATCAACATCAAAGTGAACCGAATTATCTCCACGTGTAGGATTTCGCTTTTGATGTAACATCGATTGATATCTCTGATTATGCACGGTATTTTTCCAATGTTGGGGGAAACTACTTTTTTGGAATTCAAACTCAAAAAGACTCCCACCATGTTGCTCTTCTTCTCCTAATTCATCGAACACAGAATTCAATATTTCGTCCGAAATATTATCATCTTCATACACCCTTTTAGTCATGGTGACGTCTTCAACAAATGATCCTACAAAACACGAGTGAGACATAAATGTAAGTCCAAAGACAAATTTTATTGAATAAAGGGGTAAGTTTCTAAAGAAACTGTGGTGCTGCGTCGGTGGGAGAGTATAGCAGGTAATTTAGTGTTAACAACTGGGTTGAAAACGTAAATTAGCCACCATAAGGGTAAAAAAGGCTGACGTTTCGAGCGTTAGCCCTTCGTCAGAGCGATTAGAGGAATTGTGGGTTGTGTGTGGATTTATATGCAGAAAGTGGAGCTACGCCATTGGTGGGAATATGGTGACGAGAAAACAGGAATAAATTAGTTGAATGAAAAGCGCTCGTTGATTCCGTGGGGATTAAGGGTGCCGATTTGGAAAATAAATTTTTGTTCCAGTGTTTTACGGCTTTCTGAACTGCCTAGATGTAAGGAAAGGCCGCATACTGCCATATGCTGTTTAGAATGATTAGGAAGATTAAAGTGTCTAGCGACTGGTTTGGATGCGTCCTTGTCATTTCCTTCCACATCGCGAAGGTGTTCTCGGAATCGGTCACCCAGTCGTCTTCCTGTTTCGCCGATGTATAACTTATTGCAATAAGTGCAAGTTATGCAGTAAATAACATTGGCGGAGGTACACGTAAAGTGATCAATGATCTCAATGGATCTTTTGGGTCCCGATATTTTCTCTACGTTGTGAATGAAAGGACAAGTTTTGAATCGTGAGCGAGCGCATTTAAAAGTTCCAGATTGGTCATTGGTTTGAAATGAACTCCTGACTAAAAAGTTGCCTATGTTTTTGTCACGTTTGAATGAAATAAGTGAGGGTTGCGGAAAGATAGTGCCAGTCTCTGAATCTAAAACTGAATTCATGTTAATTGGATCGCGGCAAAGGATAGGTACCCACGAAATGGTTGTCGCAATTTCTTCCTCTGAATCGACAAAACACACACGGCATCTATGTAAAGCAGAATTTCCTTATTTTTTTCTATTTTACTTTTAAATTTTAGATCATGTTTATATAGATTAAAATAGATTGTAACTGTAATAATAGATTGTAATAATATTATTATTTTATCTGATAGATTTACCGTGTCTAAATAAAAATAAAGTTCAAGTTCAAGTTCAAGTGTGGTGTTCTCCTTCTCGGCCGTTTGTAGTGTTGCCTGACGATCGATTTGTTGGGCACGGTGGTAGCCCGCTTGAACGACAGAAACAGGATAGCCACTTTTATCGAAAAACTGGCACATTGCCTCTGATTTTTCGGAAAAATCAGAGTCGTCACTGCATAAACGACGAAGTCTGAGAAACTGTGAAAAAGGTATGGAGTTCTTGACGTGTGATGGATGTGAGGAGGAATGCAGCAAGTAACTATGTGAATCTGTAGGTTTTTAGTAAACACTAGTATATAAACCGTTTCCTTCAATTGAAATTTTGATGTCTAGAAAAGCCAAAGAAGTGTCGGAAATTTCCCAAGTATATTTAAGAGCCGGATGAAAGAAATTGACAGCGGTTATAAATTGAGTGAGCTCCTCTTTGGTAGAGGAGGTAGCGCCGATGCAATCGTCAATGTAGCGGCCGTAGAGTTCAGGTTTTGGGCCGTGGTTTTGGCTAAAAAATTGATGTTCGATAAAACCTACAAGAAGATTGGCGTATTTTCATACCTTTCTATTTCTTCTTCTTTCTTGATATTTTCATACCTTTCTATGTCTTCTTTCTTCACAACTTTAACCCACAATTCTTCTGCTGTTGCTGCTGCTTCTTTGTTTTGACTCATCTGTACTTCTTGTTCTTCGTAAAACTGTTGATAATACACGGGTCGAGAACACCGTCTCTTATAATAAAAGCAAAGTTTTTCGTTTGTCTCACGATGTAGTCACGTGTGATGTAGATCGCGACGTTTCGACTGCTTACTTCTAGTCTTCTTCAGGCGATGAGATCGACTGGTCATGCGTGATCTTATAAAGCATGATGCTCTGCTGTGATTAGTTGTTATTCAACAGCTCTTATTGGTGCATTTCGATCCTTGCAGTTCACTCAGTGATTTGCTCCCTCGGCGGTCCGCAGTCCCACGGCCCTCCTGTTGTTGTTTTTTTTTGATCGTGGGCATCCACGCTTCTGGAATTTCTACTCCAGTATCCCTGTTGATGTTGTTAGGGTGAAGTCTTATATGAATTGCCTCTTTGACCCTGCGCGTGCAGTAATAAGGGTCACGATCAATAAACTTTACTTCGTTCCAGAGTGGCCTATATCCGGTGTTGTGGGCATGCTCCTAAACGGCGGAGGTCTCGGTAAGGGCGAGTCGAATATCTCGATCGTGCTCCTTAATTCTGTCTTGCATAGGTCTTCCAGTCTCTCCGATGTACACCTTGCCGCATTCACAGGGAATCCTGTAAACTACACCATCTTGTTTAGCCGGGTCGACAACGTCTTTTGGTCGCACTAACTGAGATCTTAGCGTAGTCTCCGACTTGAAAACAGCGCGTACGCCTAGTTGTTGTGGGCAACGGCGAAGCTGTTCGGACAGCCCTTTGACATAAGGTAAAACCGCAGTAGCTTTGAACTTGTCAGCGGGTTTGGCACTGTTGTTTGGTTTTCCGGTCCTGGTAAGTTTCTGCAAGAAAGAAAAAGGATAACCATTAGAAACCAGAACAGATGACAGACGTTTTTTCTCCTCGGGGATAACGGAGGGTTTTGTTACGAGACGTTTGGCGCGCTCGTAAAGGCACTTAACAATGCCGCGTTTTACTGATTGAGGTTGGTGCGAATCATACGCTAAGTATTGATCGGTGTGCGTGGGCTTCCTGTATACGCTGGTGGTGAGGCGGCCGTCAGGTTCTCTTAAAACTGCGGCGTCTAGGAAGGCGAGTTTGTTGTCTTTCTCTGTCTCCATGGTGAAGCGGATGGAAGGCTGCTGTTTGTTTAGATGCTGTAAGAAGTCATCTACGTTTTCGTGATCCAGGATGGTAAAGGTATCGTCCACGTAGCGTTTCCAGATCCTAGGCTCGTTTAATTGAAGATGTACGAAGAGCTATGGCGTATCACAACATTTTACATGAGGATCTCATTCTCATTGAAATCTATAAGCATCCTGAATTTGACGGATATTTTAATGGATGATTTGAAAATATATTACCTGAGAACACACACGAATTATTTCGAATGAGATATTTTCCATTTGGTCCATTTCTAAGACACTTTTTTAATGCTTCCGTATTTTTTCCTTTTATGAGATTCAAATTACGGTTTCCTATTATTTCTAGTCAAGAATCGCTTCGCTATACTCACTGTATTTATCACATTCGTAACTTTTTCTTACATGCCACTTAATTTTTTCTCCGAATGAATCATCCGCACCTACACCCACTTAGCTTCACGAGCCGTCTATTGTATGGGCGCTTATGCACTGAAACATCAATAAGTGTTATCTTTATCTTTTTACTGTTTAAGAACGTCAACTTTTTCACTTATGTCAATGCTTACATGCTCAATCATTCAATAATTCAATATGGTTTTACTAATCATGAAGACCCACCCGTGATTGTAAATGCAGATTGGTTAACTACGTTTAATAATAGACATGTACACAATTCCATCATTCATTTCTATTCGTTACTCATGTAACTTTTTTATTTTTCAAAAATTGATGTATAACTACAAAAGTATAATAAACAAGTGTCTTAATAGTCTTTGTCATGATATGCAGAATCCAATCCGGCTGCGATTTCTTTATCCCATGATGCGCCATAGACCCATCCCTGTCTCATCCCTGTCGGTTCGTAGATGTGATGTAAAGCCACATAAAATACAAGTTCACGATGTCTCTCTCGTAATTTAAGTCTTCAATAATCTTTTTATATTTTTCAATGTCTTGAGCATGTTCGGAAGCTTGCAAACGGATCCTTCTCTTTAAGCGACGAATTTTTTTCGCATGAGACGACCCCGCCATGTCTTCACATGTAAACAGTCAGTGATCCAATGTTTTCCTCCTGTTTCTTTCAAGAAAATTATACCATCGGGGTTAATATTTGACATTTGTCAACGCTTCCAATTGTCCGATCAAATAGACATCTCTCATCAGCAAATTGTTATTCGGATATTTGTCATTCATCCATTTGTGATAAGTACTGATGACATCTTCGAAATCGTGACCATGCGCACGGATCTTTTTTCTTTTTTCCTATCTCAATAGAATGAAACCCGTGTGTAAACAGATACAGCTGCATGTTTACATTTTGGACACCACATCATTGACAAGACAGATTCAGTGGTGTAACGACAATGACTGCATTGAAACGTCTTGGAAGAACCCATTAAAAATTTTGAGTGATGGTTAGGCACTTCAGACGTATAACGTGTTTTCCCGTTAAACGAATAATAAATAAATTGATAACTCGGAGAAGAAAGAGACGGTTGATGGCGCTAATGTCGAAGACGATCCATATCGAAATGAAAGAAACAGACCCATGTTTACTTTTATTTCTAGAAAGGACGCGTTCATGTGGACCTTGTGTTCCATATTGACCTCAACTGACAAATGCGCGCTTTTCGACAGGACAAAAATGCAAAGACATGTATGCCCTTACAGACAGCTGTCACATCTCTCCCGCAGAGATGGTTCTATCCACACAGGTACAAAAAACTTTCCCGCTCAAATTCTATCTGGGTTCTATTATCGCCACGCCGGAGGAAAAACTGTTTTTAAGCGCGTGACACTAGGTATTGTGTGACATTCATATACAATTTACATTCTTTACATTTTTCGAATTCTTGACATATTTCGTCGTAGTCTACAAATACAAAGACTACAAATACAACGGGTGACCTTAAAAGCTGGAACGGTGGAATGGTGGAATAGCGGAATGGCGGAAAATGACTCCAAATCCTAAAACATGGAACGGCGGAAAATGACCCCAAATCTTAAAACATGGAACGGCGGAAAATGACCCCAAATCCTAAAACACGGAATGGATGTCAGGGCATGTTGCACAAATTTTGTACAAAGACACCAAGCGCTTGGCTCATTTATCCCCACGACGATAACGCGCGTGACTAAAATTAAGCGTTATTAATTTTTTTTTTCTTTTACTGAGTGGTATAAATAATAATTAACCAAGACTACTCAGGTATAAATCGCATCTCTTTAATAGTACTCATTGGGAATAGTGTTTGTAAAGGTAGTCCATTTTAGGGTGGTCCATTCGGGTAGTCCATCCGGTATTCCATCCAGTATTCCATCCAGTAGTCCATCCGGTATTCCATCCAGTAGTCCATCCGGTAATCCATGGACTGGGGGTCAGTGTTATGTCTACGACCGGCCAAAACAAGCCTAAAGAATTGTTGATATATGCAAAAGCTCAACGCATAATTTGAATAATGAAGTCACGGGTTTAGTTTAACGGCTCAAAGCTATTTGGTTGATTGCTTGAGGTAAGAAATCTGTCTTTGTAACATTTATAGTTTACCAGTTAGTATCCGTAGTGCTTGGATCCAAGATTTCACTCATAAACTGACTTTAACGGTGTCATTTGGCTCAAGTTGAGCTAGTATTTTTCTTCTTCTAACCGAGGCAAGCGAGTTGCGTGCGGCATCGTGTAGAGCACTTGAAAAATCAAGAACGCAATACACGAATTAGACGCGGCCTTTGCCAAAGCATAAGTACAAATCAGAAAAGAAGCGTAAAGCGATGTACCTCTAAAAGACTCAACTTTTGAAATAATTTTCTCGAGTCTCGCCGGGAATATATATAACGGGGTAATATGTAACTAACGGCGTAATTTCTTCCAGTCAGTTGTCTTATATGTACGATTTTACGCCAGTAACTAACGGCGTAATTTCTTCCAGTCGGTGATATATATATGTAAGATTTTACGCCAGTAACTAACGGCGTAATTTCTTCCAGTCGGTTAATTATATACTGTAAGATTTTACGCCGTTAGTTAACAGCTTAAAATCTCCATTTATATACACCGTCGCACATAGTGGCGTAAAATCTTACAATCTATAGACTGTGTTAGTCACATATTACGCCGTTATCTAACTACCACTCTGAGATACAAAAAAGATAATCTGTTCCCAATTATTCATTTGTCTAAAATCACCTCCAAATCGTCGGTTAAGCGCCATTGCTTTTGTTTCCCAGTTCGTTTTTTCAAAATGAAACTTGCTTCACTTCTTTGTTTTCCACGACTGAAGCGTTACAACGAGTAGATAGGTTTTTGACGTAAGTATGGAAATATGATAGGCAATTTATAAAAGTGAGTTGAAAGAATAAATAGCGTACATGGAGGCAGTGTGATTGTTTCTTGCGAGATAATTTTGACGCTTTCTAGGACTGTGCGAGGCTGTACCAGTGAGGTCGTAACGTATCCAAAACTTATCATTAGAGAAGTAATGTTTGATGAGTTTCGGTTGCTATTATTCAAACCAGCTGGACCATTGAGACAACGAGTTATTTTGAATTCATTACTCGCATATCACATTGACGTCTGTTGTCCTCATGAACCCCTTGCGAGACTCTAGTACAGAAATAAGTTGATTTGTTTGAAATAATTGCCTCTTCACACTTCGAGTTGTATTACAGAAGAGGGTAACCCTCTTATCGTCAAATTTTTGAAATCGCTTATATGAAACAAGAGGAAAGAAAACACTTAATGAGATGGCAACAACGGGGTGATGGGACTCAACAACCTTGAGATCAACTGACTGTCCTAGCCAGGAGACTGAAAAAATGATTGTAAAAGAGACCATGTAAAGCTACTTGTTTTTACCATTGTGTTGTACATATTTATTTGTTTAACATTGTACTGCACTCTTCTGACAGGGAACATGAGGAGCCTTGTGAATTGTTTAGCGATTTGTGCAATCTTTGTTTGGGTTCCGGCTTTTGGAAAACCAGTTGAGAATTCAGAATGGATAGAACTCTCTTACCCATTCAACAGTGAGACTATCTACTGGCCAACAGCAGTGAGTTTCCATCACTCCTTGGTGTTCGAAAATTACACTGCTGATGGGTATTACTACGCTTCATACGACATCAGAGCCTCTGAACACGGTGGCACCCATATCGACGCACCAAGGCATTTTGCGGCGGGAAAATGGACAACAGACCAAATACCCCTTGATCATCTCATTGGGCCTGCAATAAAGATTGATTTATCTACCAAAGCCGACAAGGTGAAATTTTATCATTATTATCAAATTAAATGAAACGATAAAACGATAGAGGTAGTGCTCTTTGCGTTGCAATTACTTTACCTCTGTCGGGGCTAGGCGTCTCCGATCAAAACACAGGTTCTTAACAAAAACATACCCTTATCATTACGCCACCCATTTCAGTAAAATTGTATTGACTTTTAAATTTTCGAAACCTGTTGAATTATTTTCGCTCCACTGGTTAGTAAGTTGTTTCACCAGTTTCTTATAGTTAATTAGTAAAGAAACTGATATCGGTATAATATGTTGGTTTCAAAATGAATTTTTGTAAGCAGTAGTGACATTACGTTGATTGACAAGCGGCCTAAGAACCGTCTGCAATTAATTTTGATCGTTCACAAAAAGTATCTAAAAAGTTAAAATGTAAGGTATTTGGTTACAGTTGAACTAATCGATGGAACTTTCATTCATTTAATATCTGAATTTTCTTAAACAATTTGTTCTTAGTGAAAGGGCGAGCGAAGTTTTAATTTCAGTTCTACAACAAATATACGCACTCGGTGATTCTTAAATGACTGTGAATATTTTAAAATTATATTTGTGGATAAAGAAGTGAATATGAAAGCGACCTTCGCAGTAATGAACTTTACTCAAGCAGTAGTGAAAGTAAGGCTTCATTTTCACTACTGCTTAAGTAATGTTCATGTCCTATCTTACTTAAGAGGACAATTTGTTTAACCGGTGATGAGCTTCCTCAGTAGGTGGTCATTTCCTTTCTCGTGGCCTTACTTCGTGATTCTCTGATGATACTTTAAAGATAAATTTGATATTATTCACTCTTAGTAGTTCAAGATTTAACGGCTGTGTTGTCTTCCTCTGCGGTGATCTAAACGCACCATTCACAGCGATTGAAACTGATAGTAACCGCGATTAGCATTACGACTGATTAATACCAAGAGAATGGTACGAGTTTTTTTTTTTCTTTCCCTTCTTTCTTTTCTATAGAACGCTGACTACGAGATGACACCAAGCGACTTACAGGAATGGGAAGAGAAACACGGCGTGATCCCAGATAATGTTATTTTGCTGGTATTTTTCGGCTGGGGAAAATATTGGCCGAACAAGAAAACGTATCTCGGAACTGATCTCAAAAACACTTCCCTGCTGCATTTCCCAGGTACGTTGTTGAAATAATAGACAAAAGTTATAATTTAGAAAACGTAAAGGGGACCATCAGGACAAATTAAGAAAAAATAGGAAAGATTATTAAATGAAACTAAGCAATGGAATGAAGGAGAAAGCATCGAAGGCAAATTAATTTCTTTTAAACCTTGCGTCGCTGTTTCCAGCCTGTTAAAATAAAAACTTGATGGTCTAGGCTCTAGGTTCCTAGAAATACAGTACTGAAATTATAGAACCGTAAAATTTAGCTGAAGAAATGATCACTTGAACACTTAAGTCGGTCGGTGAATATCTCTGTTGCAGATGATTACCGCACCACTTCAATACTCTGAATTGTAGTCTCCTTACGAAAAGATTACTATGACTGCCATTTCGGCAGTTTCTGCCCTTCCCCAGGCTGCTGCATACTCTGATATTCCTCCATGAAAAATTCCTTCCACTTGAGAAGGTCAATTCTGTTTTTCTTCTCGTGTAAATAAGCAAGGGCAATGTAGCCATATCTTGTTAAATGCCCCATACAAAGACAAGTTTCTTTTCATAGGAATACACCCCAACGCTTCTCGTTGGTTGGTTAAGAATCGCAAAGTCAAGATGGTTGGTATTGATACCCCATCCATGGATTTTGGACAGTCCAAGATGTTCCAAACACATCAAATCCTCTACGCTGAGAACATTCCTGGGCTTGAAAATGTCGCCCACATGGATAAGCTGCCAACGAAATGTTTCACAGTGTATGCAGCACCCATGTTCATTTCCGGCGGAAGTGGGGGGCCTTGCCGAGTCTTTGCTCGTTTGGACGAGAACTGCTCCACGAATGCAGTCGTAAGGTTCCAGAACTGCTCAACGAGTGCAGTCGTAAGGTTCCAGAACGACATTGTGTTTTTGGCAGTAATGATTTGTCTTGTGTTTGGTTTCCTATGACTTTGTGGGCCGAAGTACATCAGCGGCAGTTATAACAATGTCTTGTATTTGAAAAGGAATACAGATAATTCACCCTTATTTCATATAGCTCAAATAAAGAAAA